GTGAGAAGTTTCTGGAGGCTGATGCGGTTCAGATATCGGGCAACGGAAGAATACATGTTTGCGAGGATTCTGCTGTGGATAGGGCTTGAACCGCTGGATTCGTAGCTGACCAGCCTCAAAATTACCTTCCTGAACATCGTGTAGCTTTATACAATATTTACTACAAGACCCGAAAAAATAATTCCGGTATTTTTTTTGAAATCGGTGCCCCTTGTTGAACACAAGGGGCATCACAATTGCCCATATTTTGGTGCCCCATTTCTCGTTGCTCCTCCTCCGTCCGATCTTCAAAGTGGGCACGTTCTACCCATGGATACTTCAGGTGGAGAAGTCGAACCGCCTTCAGCGCCAGAATCTCCTGTCACCCACAAAGTCAGCGGTTCCCGCCATTTCTCCATCTAGCCGCGCTCGTGCCCTGCGCAAACCAAATCGCGCGGCTCCAACGTGCTTTCTTTCCATCTTTGGGCTGACCTGCCAAGAAAACTCATCCCTCCCTCGCTTCCCTTCCCCCCCTCCCTCTCCTCCCCCATTCCTCTCCCCTTTCCCTCTACTGTACTCCCTCACTTCCCTTCCTCTCCCCCTTTTATTCCATCCCCTCCCCCCGCCACCCTCACCCCCCTTCCCCCGAACCTCCCCATCTTCGCACACCCTGTTGGTGAAGCCACAACCACCCCCACTCCATTCCCCTAGTCCACAATTGTAGAAACTTCAGACGAACTGCCGAATACTCGTTGCCAAAGCGACATTCTTCACGCAAGCAGTGTTCGTGCACTCTAATTTTCACACGGCCAATACTCCCACAAGCGGTTCGTCGAATCGTGTTCGTCAGTAGTCCTACCACTTGTCGCGGTTGTCACTCGGCCAAGCGTCGCAGCCATGGCGGGTAGCTCGGCCAAGCTTTTGCCCCTCGCGCTGCGCTTCCTCGAGTGCTGCTTCTGCTCCGCAGCTTTCGCGTACGACACGCTCCACCCACTCTCTCCGTTTTCGTCAAAGCCACCTTTTTTTTCTCTCTCTCTCTCTTTTCTCGTTCTCTTTTCGACTTCCCTTTCAATTTCCGTCCGCTTACCCTTTGTGGGCCGCCGCGAAATTTCCTGCTGTGAGAAGAGATGAAAAACACGCCAAACGTTGTTTTTAGTCGTTTTCAGGTGACTCTCCAATACGACATCCGTTGCGTCATCGAAACATTCCGACAAACGTGGCTATTCGTTTTTAATCGATTCTTCAATGAACAAATAAAAAGAAACCCACGCGGCAGTCATTCGCTTCAAGCTCCGCGGAGAGCTTTCCTGATTATAATGGTTGCCGTGCCTTCGTAATCGCTCCAGCGATTTCGGTCCAAGTTGTCCCTACCAGCAATTGCTGGTTCAAGAACCTTCCTGCCTTCGTTCCCCGTCCACGCGACGCGGGGCCATCGCTGCTCCGCCAACTGCGGACAGCCCACGCGAAGGCGGAAGCGCAGAAGTAGGAAAAACGTCGAATAAAAGCACTAGTGCGGGAAGCAGGGGCGGTTCGGGAAGAAACCGTCCGGCTTGCGGCATTCCGTGTATTTTCCTATGTAGTTGCGGCACTCCGCCCCTTCCCTTTCCAAACCTTCCTCTTCCTTTCCTCTCCTTCCCCCTCCAGCTTCCCCACCACCAACCTCCCCTCCGCTCCCCCACCCCTTCCCATAATCCCCTTCCTTCTTTCTCAACCCCCTGCTCCCGTCCACCCTTTTTCCCTCCCGCTCTCCCTACCTCCCTTCCTCCTCGGCATCCTCTGCAGCCTCATTTCTCCCAAACAGCACCAACGTAACTGCATTTCTGTTGGACACATCAAAACTCTCCCTCCCTCTTCTTCCCCTCTCCCTTTCTCACTGCCTCCCAAACCCATCCTCCTCTCCTCTCCCTTTGTCTCCTGTGCTCCCCTCTCCTGTGCATCCTGGCAATGCGACGGCGTTCGGCGCGCCTCTTCGCGTACTCAGCTGTTACCGTTTCCCTCTCTTCCTCCTTCCAATCCCCGTGTTTCCCCCGCAGCATCCTGTGCTACCTCAACTTCTCCTGGAAGAGCATCAACGTGACGGCGTTCATGTTCGGGACGGGCATCACGGGGCTCATCCTCTCCTTCATCCTCATGCTCGTGCACGCCGCTAACGTCGCCGGGGTCAAGATGGACTCGCTCGGCGCGCAGCTCTTTGGAAGCTTCGTAAGCTTTGCTTGTGCTCGCTCTGGAAGTTCCTTGACTCTCCTCCGAACCTCAACCAAGCCTCTCCTCCGTACCCCTCCGTACTTCTCGTCCAAACTTCTCAACCGAGCCTTCCGTCCGAAGCTCTCCCCCTTCCCACGTCGTTTGTCCTGCTATCGGCGCGTTTCTCTCGTGCGCAGCTACAAGTGCCCGCCCTCATCAGCAACCCCTGGTTTACAATTTCGACGTCGTCTCTTACATTCGCCGTGTCGTGAGCGTCAAGGTGATTCACTGAAGTCGCTCCGACCACCCCTCCTCCTTGCCCCCCCCCCCGCCCCCTTCCCACCTCCCCCTCCCCCCACGGCAGATGATGATGATGCTGCTGTTCGCCGCGTCGTGCGCATCAGGCGGATTTCGAAGAGACGATCCAATGCCACCCCTCCCACCCCCATCCGCCGCCCCCCCTTCTCCCCCTTCCTCCCCCCACGGCAGATGATGATGATGCTGCTGTTCGCCGCGTCGTGCGCGTCCGCGGCCTTCACGTCGCGCATGTGCTCCTCCTACTCCTCCAACTTCCTCCTCGGCTACATGTGAGTTTGGTGCATGTGTGTGTGGGGGGCCGGGCAGGGAAAGGGGGGGGGAGAGGGAGGGAGGGGATGTGTTGTGGTTGCGTCCGCGGCCTTCACGTCGCGCATGTGCGCCTCCTACTTCTCCAACTTCCTCCTCGGTTACATGAGAGTTTGGTGCATGTGTGTGTGTGGGGGGCAAGGAAGGGAGGAGGGGGAGGGTTCTGGGGGTTCTTGCGCGGCCTTCACGTCGTGCATGTGCTCCTCCTACTCCTCCAACTTCCTCCTCGGCTACATGTGAGTTTCGAGTGTGTGTAGGGCGGAAGGGGGTGTGGGTGCGTGTGTGGGTGTGGGTGCGTGTGTGGGTGCGTGTGTGGGTGCGTGTGTGGGTGTGGGTGCGTGTGTGGGTGTGGGTGCGTGTGTGGGTGTGGGTGCGCGTGTGGGTGTGGGTGTGCATGTGCTCCTCCTACTCCTCCAACTTCCTCCTCGGCTACATGTGAGTCCCATCTGCCCTCCCGATTGTGTGTGTGTGTGTGTGGGAGAGGGGGGGCGGAAGGGGTGCGGGGAGGAGGGGAAAGGGAGGAGGGGGTGGGGTTCATATGTACATGTGTGTCCGAATCCCCCACTTACCACTCCTCCCCCCCTCCCTTCCCTCTCCTTTTCCCCCTCCACTCCCCACTTTCTCTAACGTACTCTTTCCCTACTGTGCTCGCTCACCCCCCTCCTGCAGCGCGTATTTTTTGTTTATCTATCTGCCCTTTGCCAAACCTCTCACCTTTCTTCCTTTCTGCTCTGCCCCTTGATGCTCCTCGTCCCCCCCTTCCTTTGTTCCTTGCTCTCCTGGTGTATGCGTTACAGTCAAGACAGCTGCACGCTTCTCAAGTGGTCCAATGCCATGGGCTTCCTCGGCACATTCACCTACATGACATCGTTCTGGTGAGTGCAGTACACTCTGCTAAGCTTTTGTAACTAAAATATGTGCAACACCAATATATGCATATGTGCAACAACAATGTTTATGCACTATCGGAACTGCCGGCAAGGCTGGCATGGGATGCAGTGTCATCCCCTTATTCACACTCATCTGGAAACCATGTTTCTACCTCCACCTGATGCATGCGCATGCATGTATATAACATGAAATGCTTCTATAACATGTGTCTCTGATGTATTTGGTGGTTTTGCAGGGTATTTACTTCTTTCATTTACATGGAAGCATAGATCTGAGGGTAGGGCGTGACATGATTGCTGACCTACGTCCCTGCAGTGCATGTTAGGCAATCATATCTTAGGTTTTGAAGGACTTAAGCATAGGCGAGCTCAATTAGTATCCTGGGTCTCTGGAACACATTCTCCGTTTTCCTCTTTGATATCACCACCGAAGCCACCCCACCGTAAAAGCATCACATTTAGCATTTTTGTTTTGGTGTAGACACAAAGAATCTTGCAACCTGGTTGTGGGATTGTGGGGGTAGCGGTGAAGAAAGTCTTGAAAGCCTTGCACCACGCCACAAATTGATGGTCGTTGTATACAAACTGTTCACCTTCTAGTTCGAGAAAAACAAGGACCCATCAGCTCGTTTTTGTGTGTCCTTCGTTATTATTTACAGGATTTAATAACATGTTCTTGTGAGTTTTTTTAGAACGCTCATGAACCATCTCCTTTCAGGAAATCGTCCCCGTGTCATTCCTGGTTGGAATACGAACCAATCATAGTCAGTCAACCACTCGACTTTGTACCACGTGGGACAGCATTTCTTGCACCTCCACCACGAAAATGACCCACGCGGCAATTCCTCTCCCCGGATGATTGGTCGAACTCTATTCAGCCGCCGTTTTAGAAGTTCTTCTTGACTCCATAACGAGGATAGTTCCCTCGATTCTTGCCCAACCCTATTCACGTCCTGCTGTTGTAGCAGCATCGTCTGCTCTTCTTTCCTGGCTTTCCCTCAGCCTAAGTATTTCTTCCGCATGAAGAGTTACGGCTAGGGTCTTGATAAAGCTTCTGATACTTCAGATTGCTATGATGCTCTAGGACCCAGTTGAGTCTTCTATGGTCGAAGTAGGTTGTTTTGTCGGTTATCGCGATAAGATAGTTTCTGTCTCATTTGCGCATGGCGCGAGGCCAGTAGCTCCTATATGATATAAGTGTATACGAGACCAGTATCTTTGAAAGTATCAGCCCAGTATTTCTAATGTTATTATAGAGTATACATTCTTATTCGTATATACTCGATACAAGAATAAGTGCATTTTGTTACAATGGAGAAGGATATGCACGAAGTGTCGAACCTTATAACGGATGGAGACGGCGGCGCGAAGGTGGTTGCGGGAAGGAAGGCACCGACAGTTATCGCACAGACTGAGCGGCGCGACAGAAAAGTCGTCGCAGCGGTTAAGGCACTGGCGTCGCAGCCGTCGCAGAGGGGTTTCGTCGCTGAAGGGATGTCCGTGACGTGGACACGGCTACAGTACTCCGTGCCGGCAGCCAATGTGCGTCACTGTAGCGCTTATAATCGTTTGTGTTCAAAAGAAAAAAATAAGTGTCTATTTAGAAATAGCTACAGCACTTCCCCCCCCCCCCCCACACCCCCCACATCGCGCCCCCGTCCTCTCATCCTTTTCCCATCCTCGCATCCTTCCCCCCATCCCCACATGCTATCTTTCATTCCCGTCTTTTCCCCCCCTCCCCACGCCAGTCCGAGTGGTGCTGCGTGCGCGCGGAGGACGATGCGACCATCCGCCATCCCGCATCCCGCCGTCCTTTCCCCCCATCCTCCCGTCCCCCCGTCCCCTGTTCCCCCATCGCCCTATCCCCCGCCCGCCAGTCCAAGTGGTGCTGCGTGCGCGCGGAGGACGACGCGACCATCTACCGCAAGAAGGTGATGATGAACGTCACGGGGGGCGTCGCGCCGGGCAACCTGCTTGCCGTCATGGGGTGAGTGTGGGGGATGGGGTGAGTGGGTGTGGGATAGTGTGGGGTAAGGTTGGGATGGTTGAGGGCTTGTGCCACCATCTACCGCAACAAGGCGATGATGAACGCCACTGGGGGCGTCGCGCCGGGCAACCTGCTTGCCGTCATGGGGTGAGTGTGGGGGATGGGGTGAGTGGGTGTGGGATAGTGTGGAGTGGAGTTGGGAGGGATGGTTGGGACGGTGTGAGCGGCCATCTACCGCAACAAGGTCATGATGAACGTCACGGGGGGTGTGGCGCCGGGTAACCTGCTTGCTGTCATGGGGTGAGTGGGTGTGGGATAGTGTGGGTGAGGTTGGGATGGTGGTTGCGTGCGTGTGCGACCATCTACCGCAACAAGGTGATGATGAACGCCACGGTGAGTGGGGCCTTCAAGAGCACCCACCCCAACACCCCCTCCTTCCCTGTCCCCGTTTTATTCACACCTCCCCTCCCCTTTGTCAACCTTTCCTCTCTCTCCCCCAGTCCCGAGGGCTCTGGAAAGTCCCTCCTGCTGCACATGCTGGTGGGGTGGCTGGAGGGCGGCCCCAACTTCCGCGGCAGCATAGAGTACAGCGGAGAGCCGTTTGGCGCCACTACAGGGCTAACCCAACCCCTCCACATCCCCGTCCCCCCTTCTCTACCCCTCCCCTGTGTACCCTTTTACCTCTTTCTCCCCTAGTCCCGAGGGTTCTGGCAAGTCGTTGCTCCTTCACATGCTGGCGGGGCGGCTGGAGGGCGACCCTAACTTCCGCGGCAGCATAGAGTACAGCGGCGAGGCGTTTCTCTTCATAATGGCCCATGCATGAGCCCCCTTTCCCCTCCCATCCTTCTCTGTTACCCAGTCCTGAGGGATCAGGCAAGTCGCTGCTGCTGCACATGCTGGCGGGGCGGCTGGAGGGCGACCCCAACTTCCGCGGCAGCATAGAGTACAGCGGCCAGCCGTTTGGGGCGAATCTGAGGCGCGAGATCGGGTTCGTGGAGAACGACGTCGACCTGCAGGCCAATCTGACGGTGAGATGGGCTTGGATGGGGGATCGGACGGTGGAGAGTAGCGTGCCGGATGACTTGACGGTGTGTGTGGGTCGGCAAGGCGATCCGAGATTGGCTCTGTGGAGAACGACGTGGACCTGCAGGCCAATCTCACGGTGAGGATTGAGCGTCAAGGTGATCTGACGGTGGGGGTTGGCTTGCAGGGTGGTCTGAGCATGAGAATTTCTTGCCTTTCTCAACCTTTCCTCAACCTTCCTCCAACCTTCCCTCAACCTTTTACTCAACCTTCCCACATTTTTCTCCCCACTTCCGGCCCCAGGTGAAGGAGACGCTCATGTTCGCGGCCATGCTGCGTCTGCCCGAGGGCACGGGGAAAATGGATCATATTCAGTGGATTGACCCCCACCTTCCCCACAACCTCTCTCCTCCCTACCCCCTTCCCCCCTCCCCTCCCGTCCCCAGGTGAAGGAGACGCTCATGTTCGCGGCCATGCTGCGGCTGCCTGAGGGCACGGAGGAGATGCAAGATCTAGTGTGCTAACCTCACCTTCCGCACAACCTCTCTCCTCCCTACCCCCTTCCCCCTTCTCCCCTCCCCTCCCGTCCCCAGGTGAAGGAGACGCTCATGTTCGCGGCCATGCTGTGGCTGCCTGAGGGCACGGAGGAGACTCGAAAGACAGTGTCGGCTCTTCTCCCCCGCCTTCCCACCTCCTCTCCACGTGTTCTTCCACCCCACAACCCCCCTTTCCCCCCCACTGGCAGGTGAAGAAGACGCTCATGTTTGCGGCCATGCTGCGGCTGCCTGAGGGCACGGAGGAGATCGACCAGATCGTGTCAGCTCTTCCCCTCACACCTCCCCACCTCCTATCCGCATGTACTTCTGCCGCACACCCCCCGTTTCCCCCCTACCCAGGTGAAGGAGACGCTCATGTTCGCGGCCATGCTGCGGCTGCCTGAGGGCACGGAGGAGATCGACCAGATCGTGCGAGTGGAGCACGTTTTAGATTCGCTGGAGCTCACTCAGTGAGTGCTGGGATAGGGTTAAACTCATGGGTAAATGGGTGGCTGGGTGGGGAGATGTGAGGGTGGCTGGTGGTGCTCAGAGGGTGAGTGAGGGCACGGAGGAGATAGATCAGATCGTGCGCGTGGAGCATGTTTTAGATTCACTGGAGCTCACTCAGTGAGTGTTGCTGGGATGATGGTGGGGGTGAACTGATGGTTGGCTGGGTGGGTGGCGATTGTATGTGTGAATTTGGATGGGTGGGTAGTTGGGTGGGTGAGTGAGTGAGTGGGTGGGTGAGTGAGTGGGTGAGTGGGTGGGTGGGTGAGTGAGTGAGCGAGTGAGTGAGTGAGTGAGTGAGTGAGTGGGTGGGTGGTGGTTCGGTGGGGGGCCGGGTCGGGGAGGTTGGGTGTGCATAAAGTTCCTCAGGATTAACTCAAAAGTAGCTCCTCACATAAGGTGGTTTCTCAATGCAGTGCCGTATAACAGGCTCAGGCAGCATATGCTGCTCTGCTCCCCCTCTTCCTCTCAATCCACCTCTCCTTTCCTCTCCCCCTCCCTCTCTTCCTCTCGCTGCCCCCGTTTAACCCCTCCCCCCTCCCCCTTCCCTCCCCCTCCCCTTCCCCCCCACTCAGCTGTGCGGACAAGGTGATAGGGCGCACGGGGCGCAACGCAGTGCTGTAAAACGAGCTCAGGCGACTGGTGCACCTCCCTTCCCCCTTACCCATAACCCCCCAAACCCCCACCCTCGTCACCCTCGTGCACACACCCACCCCCACCCCTCCGCATGCCCTTGCCCTTCCTCCATCTATCCGTTCAGCTGTGCGGACAAGGTGATAGGGCGCACGGGGCGTAACGCAGTGCTGTAAAACGAGCACTGGCGTCTGATGCAACGCAATGAACCCTCCTCTCTTCCTCATAACCCTCCAAACCTCCACTCCACCCCCATGCGCACATCCCGCTCCCGTCCCTTCCCCCTTCCCCCCCCCCAGCTGTGCGGACAAGGTGATAGGGCGCACGGGGCGCAATGCAGTGCTGTATAACGAGCTCAGGCGGCTGGCCATCGGAGTGCAGATGATTGTCAACCCGCCGCTGCTGCTGCTCGATGAACCGACCTCGGGGTGTGCAGTGGTGTTACATTGTTGGGGCGGAGTGGGTCGGAGTGGGCTGTGGGTTACACATGGCTTGTTGGGGTGGGGGTGTGTGGTTGCTCAGGCGCCTGGCCAGTGGCGTGCAGATGATCGTTAATCCGCCGCCGCTGCTGCTGCTGCCGCCGCCGCCACCGCCGCTGCCGCCACCGCCGCTGCTGCTGCTGCTGCTGCTGCTGCTGCTGCTGCTGCTGCTGCTGCTGCTGCTGCTGCTGCTGCTGCTGCTGCTGCTGCTGCTGCTGCTGCTGCTGCTGCTGCTGCTGCTGCTGCTGCTGCTGCTGCTGCTGCTGCTGCTGCTGCTGCTGCTGCTGCTGCTGCTGCTGCTGCTGCTGCTGCTGCTGCCGCCGCCGCTGCTGCTGCTGCTGCTGCTGCCGCTGCTGGACGAACCGACCTCTGGTTGGGTAGGGGGAAGGAATTAATTGTCCGAGTAGGAGGCTGGGGGATACGCTATTGCACTGGCATGCTGTTACATTGTTATGCCGCGATGTTCCACCCGCTCTCTCCCGTCTCTCCAAACCTGATGGCGCCATGGCTCTGTGCATAACCCGAGCCCGTAGTGGCACTGGCAGCAATAAAGCAGCCGTCCGCCAAGATGTTCTTGCTCTTCACGCACCTCCTCTTCCCCCCCCCCACTGCCAGGCTTGACGGTGCCATGGCCCTCCGCATCACAAGGGCTCTGCACTCCTATGCTCTCGCGGGCAGATCAGTGGTGGCAACAATGAAGCAGCCGTCAGCCAAGATGTTCTCTCTCTTCACGCACCTCCTCCTCATCACCGATGGCAATCCCATCTTCTTCGGTGCTGCCGACGCCGCACTACCATATTTTGACTCTATTGGCTACACCATGGCTCCTGACACCAGCGCAGCTGAGTTCTTCCTGGTGAGTTTATGCAACGAGAACCCATTTTCCACTTGTCTATCTGGCCGCTCTTCACCTCACACCTCTCTCTCTTCACGCACCTGCTCCTCATCACCGATGGCAATCCCATCTTCTTCGGCGCGGCTGACGCTGCTCTCCCTTATTTCGACTCCATCGGCTACACCATGGCCCCTGACACCAGTGCAGCCGAGTTCTTCCTGGTGAGTGCGAGCAAGGGAGGTTCATTCTTGTCTCTTTGCTTTCTCTTCACGCACCTGCTCCTCATCACCGATGGCAATCCCATCTTCTTCGGCGCGGCTGACGTTGCTCTCCCCTACTTTGACTCCATCGGCTACACCATGGCTCCCGACACCAGCGCTGCTGAGTTCTTCCTGGTGAGTCCCTGATGAACACTGTTCACTGCCTGGTTGTGCTGGTCTTGCCCTCACTCTCCGCAGCACTCCCCTATTTCAACTACATCGGCTACACCATGGCCCCTGACGCCAGCGCTGCCGAGTTCTTCCTGGTGAGTTCGTGAACTCTTCCAAGCACGGACGAGGAAGCAGCATCCCGTTTCAGCTGGCTCCAAGAGGGAAACGATTTGGATTCCGTGTTCTTGCCCCCCCACTCTTTCGCTTCCTCTTCCCCTTCTCCCCGTCGCAGGACCTGACAGCCCCCGAAGCAGCGGACGCGTCCATTCATTTCGGCACGTCCACCAACCTCATCCGCCTGTGGGCCACTGGAGATGCTGCAAGGGAGATCGAGCGCGCTGCTGTAGCCTCTGCTGCTGCTGCTGCCTCTGCTAGAAGAAGCAAGGGGAGAGACGCTGGGAATGGGGATGTTGAGGAAGGCGCGGCAGCAGGAGAGGGTGCAGGAGCAGGAGGGGGAGCGGAAGGGGAAGTGGGAACTCGCGTGAGGGATGTAGATGCGACTACTGACTGGCGGGTGATGAGTGAGGGGGGAGGAGGAGGGGGAGGGGGAGGAGCGGGCGGTGGGGTAGGAGGGGGAGGAGTGGGGAGTGGGAAGAGGTGGGTGACGTCATGGGGTTACCAGTTCCGTGTGCTGGCCCGGCGGCATGTGCTGTCGTACCGCGTGGTGAATCAAGATTGGATCTTCGTTGGTGTCGTCGCTGCCAGCCTTGTTGTCTGCTCCTTACTGCCAGGTGCGTCTTGAAAAGATGGTTGAATCAACTTAAAATTCACCTCCCTCCTGCCAGGTCAGCGGTTAAGGTGAAGGTCAAACCGCCTCAACAGTCACCTAGGCATGTGCTGTCATACCGCGTGGTTTATCAGGACAGGATTTTCGTTGGTGTCGTGGCGGCCAGCCTTGTCATCTGCTCCTTCCTTACTGCCAGGTGAGTGAGTATGAGGAGGAAGGCCGAGTCGAGTCGCCTCAGTACTCACCTTGGTTGGCATGTGCTGTCATACCGTCTAGTTTTGAGGCGCCTCGAAACATGTGCTGTCACACCGTGCCGCGTGGTCGTCCCCCTTACCTGTTTTGAGACGTCTCAAAACTCGTCCCTCTTACCTGACCCGACCCATCCCAGGCTGTCTCTGGAATCTTGTCTCACTATGATCATTGTCAACACACCAACCCTCCACCGCAACCCCCTCATCCCAAACCATGCCAGGCTGCCTGTGGTACAACAAGCGTGACTATTCCACAGCGCAAGGGGTTCGCGACCTCGCAGGGCTGTTCTTCTTCTCGCAGTTCTTCTCGGGTTCGTGCCCATGCTCACCTCTTTCATCACCTTCCTGCCTCCAACCACCCATCCCCACTCATCCCCACCCATCCCCACCCACTCCAGGCTGCCTGTGGTACAAGCGTGACCCCACGACCCTAGGCGTGCGCGACCTGGCAGGTTTAATCTTCTTCTCGCAGTTCTTCTGGGGACTCGTGCCCATGCTCACCTCCCTCATCACCTCCCTCATCACCTCCCGCTCTTCTACCTTTCCGTCCCACCCACTCCAGGCTGCCTGTGGTACAAGCGTGACCCTACGACCGCCCAAGGCGTGAGGGATCTCGCAGGGCTGATCTTCTTCTCGCAGTTCTTCTGGGGCCTCGTGCCCATGCTCACCTCTGTCATCACCTTCCTGGAAGACCGCAAGTCAGTCCAAAAAGAGCAAGAGGACGGCGTGTATCATATCTCCGCGTACTACGCTGCCCGGACGCTCCTCAGCCTGCCGTACGAGATCCTGCCGCCAGCCTTCTACAGTTGCATCGTCTACTGGATGACCGGGCTCAACCCGTCGGGCGGCCGGTTCGTCTTATTCACGCTCGTCCTTATCCTAGATACGATGGTGGCGTCGTCCATTGGGATGGCGGTCGGCACGGCATCGTCTACAGTGAAACAGGGGATCTCGATTGCGGCGATCCTGCAGCTGCTGTCGGTGATGGTGGTGCATTTTTTGTCTCTTAGTCCCCCTGACTGGGTGGGGTGGACGCAGTACCTCTCGTTCTCGACCTATGTCAATAAGGTGAGTCAATTCTTGGAGCCTTTATAGGAGGTGACTCTGAGTAGTCACCCTGATTGGGTGGGGTAACCACAGTACCTCTCCTTCTCAACCTACGTCAATAAGGTGAGTCATTCTTCAGAATTCTATGGAAATCTATGTAAAAAAGTGAGTGGTTTAGCTTATACATATATGCGATTAATCGGCCAGTGCACGCAAATCTACATTCCTCCCATGCTTTTTCTTCAAAGCCTTGGCAACATCTTTGCCCACATCTTTCCTCCCAACACTTGCTCATTTCCCCTCATCCATTCCCCCATCACCCCTTTTCCCCTGCCCGCCCCATCCTTGCTTCATTTCCCCACTTACCAGTTGCTAATGCGCATCAACTTTGATTCTGCCGAATACTACACTGGTAGCTGTGGCATATCTCCTAACAACTCTTCTGCCACTGCCAACACATGCTCGTGTGCTGCTACTCTGGAGTTATCGGGAATAAGAAATCCGTTACCTGGGAATGGGTGGTTGGAGGCATGCATTCTCATTGCCATGCTCATCTTCTTCCGCCTGCTTGCTTTGCTTATAGTGAAGCTTCGTCTGCAGTCGTGGCGATGGTATCGTAACGGCCGCACGTGAATATTAGAGTTGAATGAAGCCGCTTATATCGGTATTTAGGCTACGCGTACATGTAGGCACGTGTGTGCGACCCTTTGTTTGGGTAATGGTTGAAGCAAAATCTTAGCCTTCTATGTAAACTTGGTATTGTTCTGCTAACAGAGGCCCACAAACGAGTGTGCATCTCAATTGTTCCGTTCCGTTGTCCTTCAAGGATGCCGCTACAATTCGGGTTGTTTTGAGGTGCATCCCCTTGGCGCATTCCGGGAGTTTCAATTTGGCAGCCACTTCAACCCGAACAGCTGGACTGCCCCGTCACGCGGTTGGCTGCTTGGGCACAGCTGGCAAGGCAAGTGACCAAATGGCAGCAGGCCTGACAGGTCATCTTCTTTCCACAGTGCCAGTTGACACGTAGTGTCGGTGGAACAGTTCTGCACTGTTTAGCTGTCGGCGGAGCACTTGCTGTGGCTCAAAGGACGTCTCAGATTGCAACTTGTTGGAGGGTCTCTCGCACAGCCAAGGTAACCACTTCGCAAATGCGAATCGGCCATCTGGCGTCAAATTTGACGTTCGCAACAGGCTTTTCTGACGGCTGTAAAAAGATTTCGCCGCTGGTCGCTAGATACGTCACTGTGCTTATTTGGCGTTTCCCGCCCGGCGTGTCGACAGTGGCAAAGACCGCGGCATGAACAGTGCTAGCAGTACAGTGTCTGTATTGTTGCATCCGCGTGGTCGGTGCCTGCCAACGCCATGCCCACCCGCCCCGGTCACTCCTTCCTCGCACCGGCCCCAGCACCAAACCAACCCCAAGTCCAACCCAGCCAAGCCCATTCCCGCGCAGCAAAATCAAGCCAAGCTTTTCCTGCGCAGCAAGCAAGAGGCAGCAACGGCAGGAGCAAGCCCAGCCCCGGGCAGCACGATTCCGCGTCGCAGGTTCTCTCGATTTCGATTCAAACAACCGCGTTTGCCGGCGAAATCGCGCGCATCGGCGGAAATCGTGTTTGTCTCAAAAGAATCGACCCAAATTGCTCCCCGCTCGCCACGTGGGCGTTTTTCTCAATTGATTCGACCATCTTTTCCCCTGTCCCCCCACCCCGTTTTTCCCGCCCTTGCCCTCCGAAATTCGGGCACCCGCTAGAGTTTCGTGAAATCACAAAATGTCATGAATACATGCTTTTTTTTGTAACGCTAAGATTTCAACATGCGAGCGACATCTGATTGGACAGAACACCTATGAACTTCTAATGATAAATGTAGCAGTAATATGGATTTTATTAATTATGTGCCACTGCAGTAAAATATTTTTTGAATCTTTGTAATACGAGTAAATATTTCTTTTTCTAAATAATAAAAAAATATCAAACAAAATATAAAATCAAACAAATTTTCAAAAGAGATTTATGTTTATTTGCCGTGGAGTTATGATTATTATTATAATTTTATGAAATTTAACTCTTAGTTTTTTATGTTTTCTGGAATAAGCTTCATGTAGATATATAGAAAACATAAAAAACTATAGGTTGATTTGTCATGTGTTTTTTTTGTGCCCCTATCTACATTACTGGCATGGGCTAATCCAAAAAAAATACGATACAATCAACGTGCATATGAGCCCCCTGAGATTGAGAAGCAACCGTCGAAATTATGGATTGCGAAAGCTGATGTGGCATGCCACAACTACATGGTGGATTTGGCATGATGTAAAAAGCATGTATTCGTGACTTTTTGTGATTTCACGAAATTCCAGCGGGTGCCCGAATTTCGGAGGGCAAGGGCGTGAAAACTAGGGTGGGGGGGCAGGGGGACAGGGGGTCGAATCAATTGAGAAAAACGCCCACGTGGCGAGCGGGGAGCAATTTGGGTCGATTCTTTTGAGACAAACACGATTTCCGCCGATGCGCGCGATTTCGCCGCGTTTGCCCTTCATCTGGATGCGGTTCGTTCACTCCCTCCCTCCCTCCGTGTCACTCTTTCTCCACGGCCAATTCTCCCTCCGCGTATCCGAAGTTGAGGGGAAACAGATCCTTTTCCGCGTAGTTTTTCCTCCCGCACTTGCCTTCCCCCTCACCCGACACTCCGCTTACCCCCCGCAACTTTCTTCCGCTGCACTCTTCTTTCTCCGCCTTCCACCGAATCGAAAACTCACGCGCCACCGAACTTCCACCGCCACATTTATGTTCGTCTCTCTTTCCTCTTCCATCATCCAGGGTCAGCAATCAATCATACGGTTTGTCATTCGACCAGTCTAGTTTCTCGGAGCAAGGATCGGCAGGGATCGAGAGCAGCAAGCAGCAGCGAACTCAAGAATTCGCAAATCGAGAGCGCGGAACACGTCTAACCGTAAGCACGGGCGCCTCACTCTAAAAATGGCCAACACAATTTCTGGCGTCCTCTCTTCAAACCCTCTCAAGCGCAAGACGTCGCACACGTCTTGCCTCTCCCCCTCAAATGCTGCTGCTCTCCCTCCCTGCCTATCCTCCGACTCGACCTCCCTCACCGGCTTCTTCTCTTCTCCCTGCACCGCCGGCGCCGCCGACGCCGCCGCTTCTTCTCAGTATGAGCATCCGAACCAGCCCTCCGCGAAGCGCTACCGCGGCGTGCGTCAGCGTTCGTGGGGCAAGTGGGTGTGCGAGATCCGCGAGCCGCGCACGCGCGCGCGCGTGTGGCTGGGATCGTACAGCTCCGCAGAGGAGGCCGCTCGCGTCTACGACACCGCCGCGCTCATGCTGCACGGCGCGCACGGCGCGGAGCGCCGGCTGAACTTCCCCCACGCTGCGGCGACCTCCATCGAGGGCGGAATTCGCATGCGCCCCGTCGTGGTCTCTCGCGCAACGGCGGAGTCTCTCCTCCGCGCGGCGCGCAACCTCGCCGCGTCCGCCAACGGCGCAGAGTCAGCGGCCGCGGAAGCGGACTCGAGGACGTTCAACAGCGAGTGGGTGCAGCTGGAAATTGCGGGCGGTAACGTCCTCTTCGCTGAGTGCCCCGCGCCTGGACTCATCCCCGTCACCCCCGTCGCCCCCGCCCCCGCTGCCGGGCCCGCAGTCGCGCCCTTCGTCCCGGCTCCCGCCCCCGCGCCTGTCGCAAATCCCTCCCCTTCCCCAGTATCCACCGTCCCCTCTCTCTCTGCGTGCGACAACCTGCCCGTCGCACCGTCCACCAGCGTCGCCGACGTCGCAGGAGTCGCCTGCTTCAGCAGCGACAACGACAGCAGCTCCATTCTGGAACTTCCAGAGCTGGACTGGCCGGAAATCGAGAAGTCTGAGTCGACTCTCTTCGAGGACGCATGGACTCTTTCAGACGAAGAGCTCTTCGGCTCCGCTTCCGCCTCCGCTTCCGCTTCCCCCTCCGCTTCGGTTTCCGCTTCCCCCTCCCACGACTCCGCCTTCGCCTGGGAGTCCGAGTCCGCCTCCGCGCTCGAGAGCCCGGTCCCGGTTTTCCCGCTTGAGGACGAGGGGATTCAGTTCGTGCCGTCTCCGCCGACCTTTCCGCCAGTGTTCCCCGCGCCTGTCGACGCGCCGATGTCGCCGTCTTCCTCCTACGGCAGCGTGTCGCGCTCCGCCTCCGCCTCTAACGACGGCGCCGTCGTCTCGGCTTCCGCCGCCACCGCGGGCTCCGCGGGGAACGCGCAGCAGCAGCAGCTGCAGCGCGCGGACGTGCTGGTGTCGCTGGTGCGCGAGCTGACGAGCATCACGGCGGTGCTGCAGCACCTGCAAAAGGAGCACCAGCTGCGGCTGATGCAGCAGCAGCAGGCGCAGATGCAGCAGTAGAGACCAGCAGCAATGACTCGCGACAGCTGGCCAAACTCGGTCACCAGTTTCGTCTGCTTTCGTCAGTCACTCCCTCCTCCGACTTAAATCTTCTCATCAAGACCCCCCAATCTCCTTCAAATTCCTTCTCCATTTCCTCGGAATCGTGCTACACTCTACCCTTTTCCGGACCTTGCTTCTACACCTGCAATTTCATCTTCCCTCAGTCCTCTTCGGAAACTTCTCAGTCCTATCCTCAGCCTCCCCCTCTACCCTCCAATCGGCTGCACTCGGGGAAGCCAGCCATCATGAAGGCCCTAAGCACCATCATTTTTAAGTGTGCCCAACAGGTCCTCATGATGATTGTCTTTCTTCCCGAAAGCCAAACCTTCTGACGAGCTCAAGACCTTTCGTTTCTGACCTTTTCTCCTCGAACCGTCCTCAACCTCTTGTTTCAACGGAACTCTCTCCTGTAGATGTCAAAGCTCCTAAATTCCTGAACCTGAACCTACTCTCCTTATTTCTGAGTTGCCCTCAGCCCTCTACCCTTGGCTCGTACGAGTCCTGCTTGTTTCTTCCCTCAGCGTTGCCTTGCTCAATGTGTCTGCTGTACTTTGTTAGATACAGTGTGATGTGAATGTATCATTTTCCAGTATATATCTTCTTGTGAGCAGTCAGCATTAATAATGACTCCCCATTTTCCTGTAAAAACAAGATCCCTTCCTAGTCTGTGTCTGAATTAGAACAATACCGTATCTACAAATTATCTAACCTATAGTCCGTGTACAATAACTCAATCGCTAATGGCAAACCAATGTATACATCATCTGGCACAAATTGTGAATCACAATAAATATTGACTTGTATAGGTATCAATTGGTATCCTGACACTTTTGTCTCAGCACCAACCCCAGCACAGTATATCTGTGCATGACCTCCAGGCATGGCGCCCCGAAGGCATAGCTGTCGGCCAGGGGCTGTGAGGCACACGGCCAGTCAGGCATGAGCTGTCAGACATGGGCTGTCAGGCTCGAGCCGTCAGGCATGGCCTCTCAGGCTCGGGCTGTCCGGCACGGGCTGTCAGCTAGTGAGCACTGATTCCTCTGGCTTCCCCAAGCACTCCTCAATCTCCTTCCAGTCTAAACTCGGCAGCGACGGAAATTCCCCCGGCAGGCTCGGCAGTCGAGGCAGAGAGCCCGTTTGGTCCGGCGCTGGCTTGGAAAAGCTGGGCAAGTTGAGAAGCGGTTGAGAGGAGAAACTGGGCAGGTCAAGAGGAGGCTGGGGGGAGACGCTTGGTGGATGCTGCAAGGGTAAGGGCCCCCCCTTAGCGGTAGGATATGACGTGTCCATGCTGCTGCTATCCGCGTTACTAGATCTGCTGTTAACAAAATCGCTGTCCTCCTGTCCCAGCTCAGTGAGAAACGGAGCGAAAGAGGACTTTGTGAAATCACTGTCGGAAATTTGAACTGAGCAGTTGTTGCTGGGAGCACTGGGAGGAGCAGCAAGAGCAACAGCGGGTGAAGCAGAGATGCAAGCAGCTATGGCAGCAGGAGGAGGAAAGTCTATGGCGGAATTAACAGTGGAAACCGGGATATGATTCGCAGAAAGGGTCTCGGTGGTGGGCTGTGAGGAAGGCGCGCAGAGGTGCGCGAAGGTGGGATGAGCGAGCAGCGCGCGCGAAAGCTCTGCTCCGCTGGCGTAAGCGGCGGAAACGGCGGGAGCGGCGGAAGCCGCGGACTGGGACATTGCGGGCATTGCAGAGACACTAATCGCGCGCGGGGAGGAAGGCGCGGTGGTTGCGGGGAAGGCGCGGGAGCCGCCAAACGACGGGCCTGGGGGGAACCGCGGGGAGTGCAGCGGCGAGCGGGAAGGTGAGCGGAAGCGCGTCGGGCTGTGTCCTAAACCGCTCAGAGGGCTTCCGGGGAGAGATAGGGCGGAGGAACGGCGGGAGGGAACGATTATGGGGGGACCGGCGGAAAAGGTGGGAGGCGCGTCGGAGAAGAGCGAGAGGGCGGCGGAGAAGGAGCCTGCAGGCGCCGCGACGCGGCTGCTGACGAAATCCATCTCGGGCGCAACTTGCGACGCGGCTGCTGACGCAACGCCAGACGCGCCAGCGGCGGCGCTTGGACCGGCGGCGGCGGCGGCATTTGCAGCGGCGGCGGCGCGTTTCGGCGAGATCTGGCCGTTCGCCGTCGGAGATTTGACGGACGACGCGCCTGGAAAAACGCCGCCGCGACCGGCGGCGGCGGGAATCGCGGCGGTGGTGATCTCGGGGTGTGCGCAATCGGAGAAGACGACGTTGGAACCGGTAACCTCGAGCCGCACCCACTCGCCGGTAAAGGTGGGGCTAGCGTGAACCGTGGGGACAGATGCGGTAGCACCGGTAGGGCGTCTGGCCTTGCCCCCCCCGGCAGCGTCCGAGGCATCGACAATCATGTCACTAGTACAGGATGGATTGCTCGAATCTTTTTGTTGGGATGGCGACTGCTGCGAAAGAGTCAGAGAGTTGACGACGCGGAGCAGTCCTTCCGCTATAGTGCGCGACACTATAACGGGGCGGATTCCCCCGTCCGCTTGAAGAGCCTCGGGGAAGTTGAGTCGGCGCTCTGCGCCGCTCGCGCCGTGCAGCATGAGCGCGGCGGTGTCGTAAACGCGCGCGGCTTCCTCCGCGGTGCTGTACGATCCCAGCCACACGCGCGCACGCGTGCGCGGCTCGCGGATCTCGCACACCCACTTGCCCCACGAGCGCTGCCGCACGCCGCGAAGGCGCTTGGTCGTTGGAGAGTCCAGGTCATAGTAGTGGTTCGGGATTTCCGCGAATTTGCGTTTCAGGTCAAGGTCGTGCGCTGCATTTGAATCCAGAGACATCGTAACGCACTGGCATAAGGTCAATAAGCGGATTCGACGGGCTACGAAATAACTGGAAAGTTAAGTCGAAGAAAAACCTTGACTCACTAATTCGCAAAAACCCTCGTGTGGCGGTGGTCTCTAAAATATTTTTTCAAGGGCGACTCGTGCAGCTTTTTGCCGAGCCTCACGTGACCCAATCTTGGGGCAAAGGAGCCCGTTTTTGCTGGTGCACGGCGGAGGGCGGGCGATTTGGTTGGGGGAAGTTCGGCACAGGACGACCACTGTTGTTGGGTTGGTGCAGTTTTTGGAAAATCAGGTGGCAGGATCAAAGTCCAGCCTGACCAGACCAGGCAGATACTGTACGAGTACATGCACAGCAATCCTCCACTAGGAGCAAGGCTCTCAGTTTCAGCTCCAATGCATACACTGTAATTGGATGCACGAAATAGACCCACAACTACAAAAGCCAGGAGTTATTCTATCTATCATGTTCTGTAGCATCACGCTGGGCAAAAGGGTTTTATTCGCATGTCTTGGCCATGAATGAACTTGGCAAATGCTGTTGGACCTTCAGTGATGGTTACCAAAACTCCTCCTAGACCAATCAAGATGGCCAGAATGAAGATAACAATGGATGAACGACCTGCACATTCGGTAGATAGTGGCAGTAACCAAGTTAAGCTACATTGCTAGTTGCATATACAAGGTTACACGTGCAACCAAAACACATACCTGTGTTTCTCACGATTTTCCCAACAACGAAGACTCCAACCAGCGACCCAAGGAATGCCACAGGAGCAAACACAGCTGCATAGCTAGTGTTCAGAAAACCATGGAAGAAGAACGAGATGCTGATGGCACTGCTGCTGAAAAGGATCATGAAAACACTTGTCGAGGCCAAGATCTGCAATGCCAACAGACCCACTGTCAGGCCCATATAAATCAAATTGGTATTGCCTAACATTGTCAACACCTGCGGGTGAAGGCTGAGACTAAGGAGATATGGGTTGAAAATAAGTGCTCCTCCAATGCCCACCATCCCAGCCATAGCTCCAGCACATGCCATGATCACTGAGATCTGAAAAGATAGTGCCAAGGAGAGTCAAAGACGCACAAGCTGGAAACAGAAGCACACTTAAGCAAAAAGTTTACATACCTTCAAAAAGCGGGAAATGCGGGAGCCTGATGAAAAAAGTCGAACAAGGTTTGGGCTCAGAGACGTAGGCCTGCATGTTGAAGGGTGCATGCGCAGCTGCATGAAAAGTAACCATGGCACAAGGCAACGGCCAGAAGTCACAAAGCAGAGATGTGAAGAAAATAACAGCACTCTATGCCAAAAGGTCCTGCATTGCTCTACCTGTCCTTGGACGGTGCTAACTGCAGCAGCAATGCAGACAAACAGCTGCAACCCCCACAGCTGGAAAAAGGTCGAGGAACAGCGGCCAGCTTGTCTAAGGCCCCACTGAAGAGCCATGAAAAGGGACCAAAGGACTGCAGGAAAAGAACAGTAAATAGGTCTGATATAGAGAAGTTTTCACATTTCTCAGAAGTACTCGAGGAATTTAGTGAAACATACCGAGGGTGTAGAGAAATGGAATTGCCACCTGGTGGATGTGCGAAAGAAGCTGATTTCCTGATTCGTTCAAATAATGCTGCATCCACTTCCAGCGGCGGTTGAAGAACTGCGAAATCTCACACCCAGCCACTGAAATGAAATCCGCTCCCTCACATAATTCTGAAACGTCAAACGTAATTTGCTGCTGGCTCGATTCGTCTGGGTTCACAAATGACACAGGAAGGAGTCCCTCGGCAGCAGCAGTATGTGCAACCCTCTGCAAGTGCAATGATTGGATGCTTTTCAAGGCACGAAAACTTCAGGCCAAGCATGATAGCTCAACATACTACAGATACCCACCCTTCTTTCGGACTCTTTCTTCCATGACATTCGTGCTCGTGCATACGTCTTATGTACAACGAAAAGAAGCAAAATCAGTAACCCGAGTAGCTGAATCCAGTGAGGAAGAGTTGGGCTGATTAAAACTCCAATTCCAACTCCAAAAAGGAGAGACGGGAGCAATGCCAGTGCAAGTCTCAAGTCAACCAGAGGCATGGACGGAACTTCAGGACTCGACTCCCATAGTCCATAGAGAGTGCTAGCAATTGCACTGAACGCAGAAAGAGAAGGTTCAGAATAGCTTTTAAAAAATGAGAAAGAACGAGCTTGGAAAAAAATAGCAGGTAATGAATCCTGACCTTGATGTCACGACGGTATGTGAAAGGGCGGTGGACTTGACAAGATTGAATTTGAGAACCGAGTGGAACAGCGGCATGTAGAAAGGCCCTCCTCCCACGCCAGCTGAATTAGCAAGAGATGCGCACTGTGCGATCCCACGAGACAGGTGATCATTGGAATGCTGGATATGGTAAGACATTATGTTCTGAATTGAACCGAGACAGAACTAGCGTTCTGCCGTGCCAGGACGTTGTTTACTCACCAAAGCTACCAGGACTACGGATGCGTAGGTCCGGAAATTCCACTCAAACGACTCAGGTTCGGCATAACCGACGAGAAGCCAGTAGTTGTCGCGGAGGATCCCTAAGAAATCCATGGCCTTCGGAGTTTACGCAAGTCCGGCAAATTTACTGGAAAATGAGCTGCTTTACAAAAACTCCAGCATATGGGCCCTGATAAGGACCCAGCAGCATTCCTTTGTACATCCGCCGTTGATCTTGCTGAGGTCACTACCATCATGCTCTTAGCGAAACAATAACTCTTCATGTTAGAGCACCCACTGGGTATGAACTTGCAGCAAGGGGAGGCAACATAAAGCAGGAAATGAGAGCGCACTAGTCCCCAACCCTAGTGTCTGTCGCACAGCAAGGTAGCATGCACAGGGACACGTCAGAGAGATCGGCTTGTGAAGGTGGTCTGCTGTGACCTCTTTGTTGAGGTCACGGCAGGAAGGAACATGTTCCTGCTTGCGAATTTGTTCTCAGGGAGGCAGAAGCATAAATAGTATCTGCAAAAAACGCGCTATGTGTGCCTCCGCACCCAATCTAGCGCACCTCATCTTGAGAACTTTTCGTTAGTGATACAAACAGCAAACAATACTTCAACATTACTTGACTTCATAGTATTCACGATTTGGGACTATGACGAACCTCGTGCCAGATGCAATACAGAGTCTCAAACATATCCTCCACATCTTCATCAGCAACTTTGCCACCAGAAGCACCAAATGGCGCAACACCTTGCAGCGTTTGCACCCATGACCGCTCCAGATCAAGCAACGTACTTGCTGCAAGCGGCTCAGGATTGTCAAACTTATCGCTCAGCTCATGCTCAAGAGCCGAAGCTGCCCGTGCTGCATTCGCCACCACGCGAGACGGAATCCCAGCCATAGACGCTACTTTTAGCCCATAGCTTTTCGGGCAGGCACCGGATTGCAACTTGTACAAAAAGACAAGCTCCTCGTCCTCTTCCCCGTCGCCGCCCTTGCGTGCTTGTACTTGACATGCCATGTGTCGCAGCGCAATTTGCGGATGGCCCGCAAACTCGGAGGTAAGGGGATGGTAGTGCGTGGCGAATAGGAGGCGGCAGTCAAGGCGCGATGTGAGGTAGTTCAACACCTGGTGGGGGAACAGCAGTAGAAACAATGGATGATTGGAAAGCAGAGTTGCTACTGATATACACAACGTGGGGTACTACAATACTTGGAGAAAATCGCACAAGAAAGAGCTAGGATTATCACAGCAGAAAACAGCGTTACTGCCCGATAACTAAGGAACACCAAAACACGTAGCGCATGTGCAATGGCGTATCCGTTGAAAGTGGACGTGCCCCTGGCCAGCTCGTCCAGAGTAATAATGCAACCCTTTTCAGGCGCCAAGATATACATCTCAAAAGTCCACGCCACATACCGCATGTGCGATGGCGTAGCCATCGAAGGTGGACGTGCCCCTGCCCAGCTCGTCCAGAATGACAAGGGAGTCCTTTGTGGCACACCGCAGCACTGCTGCTGCCTCCCTGCACTCCACCATGAACGTGCCTGGTGGGAGAGGAGCGGGATGGGAAGGAAGGGAGAGGGGCCAGGGAGAGGGAAAGAATGATGGAGAAACAATTGCAGTGGGACCCAGAATGACAAGAGAGTCCCTTGTGGCACACCGCAGCACTGCTGCTGCCTCCCTGCACTCAACCATGAACGTGCCTGGTGGGGACGATGAAAGTGGGGGGAATGGGGACAAGGGGGACAAGGGGGAAGAGGGGGGAAGAGGGGGGAGAATGATGAGGAAAAAACTGACTCCTCTAAGGTAACACTGCTGCTGCCTCCCTACACTCCAACATGAACGTGCCTGGTGGGGGAAGGACAGGGAGAAGGGGAAGGGGAGAGAAGGATGAGAGAGGCGGGGTGATGGAGAAGCATAGTGACCTCTCTAAGGTTATGGGAATGCGAAGTTGTAGAAATTGGGTGTAAATGTCCATTGCTTAGGGATGATGGAAAGGCACTTCTACCTCCCCCACCCCTACTCCAAACCCTGCTCCCATTCCCCAAAATGAAAGCAGAAAAAACTCCTTCCTGAGATAATTCAGTCGAATGCTTGGTCTTCCCCTCGCTTACCCCCTCTCTTCTCCACCCACCCGCACCACCTTCCCTCCCAAAGAGAACAGCACTCACTCTCCCCAGAGATGATTCGATCGGATGCGCCGAGTCTTGTGAATATGACATCAGCAGGGGACAGAACGAGGGAGGAGCAGGGCGCGTAGCATCCCATCTGGTGAAAGGGAGGGAGGAGGGGATCACAATTGTAGTGAGCGGGTGGATTCAGAGCGGGAAAAGGGCCTTATGAGCCGACTTAGAAGTTTAAAGTCACGAGTAAACTCACGTATCTGGACTCGTGAGTCGGCTAAAACACACCTGGTAGGAAGGAAGGTGGAAAACGAGATTGGAATGTGGGCTGATGCAGCAATGGATTGAGTCAACCGTGAAGTATTCGAGCAACAAATCGACGTAAAGACTGGTTCGAGAACGATTTAGCTCAATATGCAGCACAGAACAATTCAGTACTGAGAGCACCTGGGCCTAGTGTTGAGAGCACCTGGGCCTAGTGTTGAGAGCACCTGGGCCTTGTGTTGACAGCACCTGGGCCTTGTGTTGAGAGCACCTGGGCGTAGTGTTGAGAGCACCTGGGCGTAGTGTTGAGAGCACCTGGGCGTAGTGTTGAGAGCACCTGGGCGTAGTGTTGAGAGCACCTGGGCTTAGTAACTGAGATCACCTGAGCCATGATGACAGCAACGCAGGTGGCTCGCAGCAGAGTGGACTTTCCCCCCATGTTGGGCCCTGTCAGCAGCATTGTACGCGCATGCACTCCTGCTTCTTCTGCTGTTATTCCTGATACGGAGCTTCCTGGTACACCCCCCAGAAGCAGGTCATTAGGAACCACCACACCACCGCTGCCCACAGCAAAAGGGTGCCACAGCCCTCTCGCATGAAGCGTGCTCCCTCCCCCTGACCCGCTTCCCTTCCCTGCTGCCACAAACGTGGGGCGGCACATAGGCCCCCCACCACCACTACCACCAGCAGCACTGCCAGCAGCACCAGCAGCGGCATCAGCAAAGGCGAGGAGGACGTCAAAGCGGGCGAGAGAGTCGGAGAGGAGCGAGCAGAAGGGGAGGAGCGAGGAGAACTGCACTAGCAGAGCAGACAGCACACGCGCCTCTGCTGCCACTGCTTCATCCAGATGACTGCTACCGTTGCTACCGTTGCTGCTGTTGATCTTGCTGCTGCTTTTGTTCTGGTTCCTGCTGTTCCCTGTCCCAGCCTTCTTGACATTTGCCACTAGGTTCACCACACTGTCATCAGGGGCCACCAGACGAGGAGAGCTGCTGCTGCTGCTGCTGCTGCTGCTAGTGTTGTTGCTGTTAGTGCCTCTTGCCCCGCCGCTGCCTCTCCCCTTCCCAGCTGCTCCACCTGCCTTCCCCTGGGCCACTGTTGGCCACACGATGAACTCCTCTATCTCATCCAATACTGCCAGCGCACACCGCCCGCTCATCTCCTCCGTGCCATTCGTCCTTGCCCCTGAATGAGTGGGATGAACCGTGTTCGAACGACCCCTCATTGCAGGATGACCCCTCTCATCTCCCCAACCATGTCTGCTGTAACCGTTATTCACGTGGCTGTTTCTCGCCCCTGCCCCTTCTCCACCTCCTCCTCCTTCATCCTCCTCTCCCTCCTCCGTCTCTTCCTCTTTCCGACCACTCCCTCTGCTGCCTGCAGTAGCAGCAGCAGGAGCCAATCGCACGATGCCACGTAGGATGGCAGAACGGAAGGTGACAGGTTCCCCGGTGAGCGATCCGTTGCGGAGAGAGTCGAGGAAGAGGAGAGCTGCACGCACCCCACGCACTGCAGCGCAGAAGTGAGTGACCTGAGGGAAGACAGGGACGGAAAGTGGGCGGAAGGCAACAGGCTCCCCGGTGAGCGATCCGTTGCGGAGGGAATCAAGGAAGAGAAGCGCTGCACGCACCCCACGCACTGCAGAGCAGAAGTGGGAGACCTGGGAGAGGAAGAAAGGTTGGGAGGGATGAGAATCAAATCGTCACAAGCCGATGTTGAAGCAAAACTGGGTGGGTGCGATCGCAAGTGCTTTCGCCTGCTTTCTCAGCAGCTGCTCTGGCATTTGACCGGCCAGCCCCTCTAGAGCAGACCTTAATGACTATTGAGTTGACTCAAAAGCCACCACGGGTGCTTCAACCTGCTTCCTCAGCAGCTATACCCCATTTATCCAGGCGGCGCCACCTCCCCTAACCAAACCCCACCCCCGCAGGGTGGATTTTTCACAAGCCAGCATTCACATGAGTGTGCCTCCTCACCTGCTTTCTCAGCAGCTGTTCCGCCATTGGTCCAGGCAACGCCTCTAGAGCAGCTCTTAACCCTCCCCATTCCACCTCCCTTCCTCCCACCCCTCCTCTTCCATCCTCCCCCCCTCTGCCTTCTCGGCCTCCTCTGGCCCTCCCCCAATTCCCTTCCTCTCCCCCACCTCCCCCTTCTCCCTCTCCCACCCTTCCTCCCCCGCCTTTGGCCTGTGCCCCCATCGCTCTCATTCGACCAATCAGGCGCTCCAGATCCGGGAGCCGCCTCATCGCCGCCCGGATTTCCCCCCGTGCGTGAGCTGCTGACGTGGCGGATGAGAGCGCTGACGTGGCAAGCGAGGCGCCCGCCAGCTCATCAACCGCGTCCAGCCGGCGCTCGATCTCGCGGATGGAGCGCAGCGGGTGGCAGATCCAACGGCGGAGAAGCCGCTTGCCTGCTGACGTGGCACACATATCTAAAAATCCCAGAAGCGTGCCTGTGCGTTTGGGGATGGTGAGGGAGGTGAGTGGGGGGGAAGGAGGGAAGGGAGGAAGTGGCGCAGAGGAGGAAGGGAGGGTTAACAGGGTCGTTGGAGGGATCAGAGCTCATTCTCAACAGCAGCATCCAAGTTAAGAAGAAGCTTAGAAGGAGATGATGCGAGAGGAGAGGGAAAGTTGATGAGAGGTCAGACTCCGGGGTCAGAGAGAGGAGAAGCAACCGCTTGACTTTTCAGCCTGCAGAAAGGCGACAAAATGGAGTTCGGTTGATTTACTCTGCATGCTGCCACTTGACCTCTCAGTTGACCCAAATGCCACCTAAAGAGCTCACCCTGCGTGCTGCCGTTGTGCATGTTGCTGAGCAGCTTCAGATTGCTGAGAGTCTGCCCGTCCAGAGGAGAAGCAACCTTGTAAACCAAATTCAGAGCTCATCCTGCATGCATGTTAAGGCAATCTTGTCCCCTCGATGCCGTAAGAGTTCACCCTGTGTGCGTCCCCTCATTCCGTGTGTTGCAGAGCAGCTCCGGGTTGCTGAGTGTCTGGCCGTCCTTTTGGGCAGGAGAGAGCGACAGAGAGGAGAATAGGCCTTCTGAACCATTAAAGCCTCACCCTGCGTGCTGCCGTTGTGCGTGTTGCAGAGCAGCTCCAGGTTGCTGAGTGTCTGGCCGTCCAGACGCAGCGAACCCGAGAAGACGGAGTAGGGGCGCAGGGCGAGCGATGTGAGCACTGAAGGGCTCCACTGGTGGGGGAGGGGAGGGGTGGGGAAGAGAGTACGAGAGGGGTTGTGGGAGGGAAGAGACAACGGAGGAGGGACACAGGTTGGAGTGAAGGGATGGAGAGGAAGGGGAAAATGGAGGGCCGGAAAGGGGAACGAGTAGTGGTGTGGGAATGGAGGGGAAGGGAGGGGAGGGAGAAACGGAGGAAGGTTGAAGAAAGAAAGGCGAGCAGTGCTCACCTTGAGTCGCTCCAGATGGCTGCCTAGAGCCACAAGCGCTGCTGCTGCCACCTCCGCTTCCTCCTCTCCCCCTCCCACCAGCAACTGCACTAGAGAATCCGCCCGCTTCCCGTGGCACGGCTGTCCCTGTGGGGATTCTTGCACGGTTCCGAAGCCAGATGATTTCAGCCGAGCCACCGCTGCATTAGGCCCGGGAAATTCCGAACCTGGCGCCAGGGCTGTCAGCTGCATTGGAAGGATCCCCGGGCCTGAGCTCCTTCGCAGAAGCTTCCTCGTGTCGGTGGACAGACCTGGATCAGAGGGTTTCACAGAGAAGTATATTTCCTTAAAACCGTCAAAGGGAAACACACCTGAAATCTCAAGACACATAGAATTGAATGAAAAGGGTAGCTTATGAAGTACTAAAAAGGGCCTGGTATGAATGATTATATAAAGCAATAACATGAGGGGCAAAAAGCAGCCCTAAACACAGTGGAGTAGGGAGATAGAGGCAAGCGCACATACCGTCCAATTCGAACAGCAGCTCTTGAGGGGCCACCTGATGGCATGGCAGAGAAGGTAAGGCAGAGAGAGAGAAAGATGGGAGAATGCAGCATTAGAGGGCATTGAGGGCGGAGAGATGACGGCACGTGCACATACTGTCCAGTTTGAACAGCAGCTCCTGAGGGGCCACCTGATGTCAGGCAACGGGGAGTCGGGCAGGAAAAAACAAAGGAAACCAAGTCTCGTATTGAAAGGCTCGTGGACACAGACGGCTAGTTACACACACAGCAACTAGAGGCACACAGGAGAGGCTTATCACATGCACTGCACCTAGACACAGACATTATTGGCCCATCACATGCACTGCACCTGGACGAGGAGCGCTGAGAGGGCGGAGCGGGAGGAGTCGTCCCGCATGGCACCCACGTAGACATTCCCGCCCGCCACGTCAGCAAACGCAAAGCCAACGAGGATAGACCCAGAAGCAACACTAGTCGGGGTGCCATTGGGAGTTCCGTTGGGGCTGCTGCTGCTAATGATGATGTTGTCAATGCTGGCGGCGCTGTTGCTGGTCGCAGCTTCTGTGATGACCTGAAAAGGGACAACCACAAGCAAGAAGGGGGTTTGAAGTTTCTGGCGACTCAAAGTTCCTCTCTGCTGGTGGGAGTTCCATCAGGGCTGAGTCCTGACTACTATAAGAGACGAGAATCCTCGCGATCGTTGACGCGCCTAACAAAAAATTGGCTGAAACCAAATCAGCATCTTTGACAGGCACCTGCCTAGCTTTTTGAACCGACTCAAACATACACGAAAGCTCGCACTAGGACTAGTGCTGAATGGGCACTAAAAGATCCTGCAATATCACATCACAAGCAAGCATCATGCTGTTTTTTTAGTCGACTCAAAAGTCACACACTAGAACTAGTGCTGAACGAGCATTCACAAGTTTCTGCAACGTCACATCACAAGCACCATGCTTGGCGGCTGAGGCTAGTGAAACACTTGCCTTTAAGAGATGAGCAAGAGGCACAGCGGCTCACCTCTTTGATTGCCAGCAAATGCACGGCCTCAGGTCTAAGCGACCCCTCTGTGAGGGTGGCTGGGGAGAGGATCTGCATTAGTTGCCGCTGCACCATCTGCAGCACACGGGAACATGGTAGAGAATATGTCCTTATACAACAAAACAATCCTGAGCATACACCTGTGCACACCCGCACAGTAATATGGCTTGCCTGCATTAGCCACATCCTTGAACAAATAGAGTGTCAATGCGTACAGTCACATTTGCAAATGCAAAAAGTTCCATTTATATATGCACATTCACGACTGTATACAGTCACATACCGCCCCTGGCCCTCTCTTCGCCTTGGCCTCCTCTCTGCTCTCCAGCTGCTCCATGCGCCCCACCTTGTAGCTGCGAGGCACGGGAGAGGAGCAAAGAAAGAGTAGCGGAGGGAGAGAAGCGAAGGTAGAGATGGAAGATGGGAGGGATGGAGAGGTGAACTGCAGACAAGAGCATCCTCGCTGCTCTCCAGCTGCTCCATGCGCCCCACCTTGTAGCTGCGTGAGACGGGAGAGGAGAGGAGCAGAGGGAGAGTAGTGGGAGGCGATTGTGAGTCCAGGTGGCCGCGGCATCTAAAGGTGGAGATGCTTGCTTTTGAGGCGCCTCAAAAGGTGCTTTTGAGGCGCCTCAGGAGGCGATTGTGAGTCCAGGTGGCCGCGGCATCTAAAGGTGGTCGTGAAGATGCTTGCTTGCTGCTCTGTCTTGCACTTCCGCGTGTGCGTATGTGTGCATGTGAGGAGAGGAGAGGGGGGGAAGGGGAGCTCACCCACCAGGGGAGTGAAAGAGGGGGGAGGGGGGCACTTACCCTCGGGCTACGAGCTTCTAAACAGCATCCTCTATACGAAGACCAGGTTTTTCAGCTCTTAAGCTTTATTATACACTTCCAGAAGAAGGTGGTCACTCACCCTCGGGCTACGAGCTTCTGAACGGCATCCTCTATGCCACTTTCCGGCACTCCCACCTATACGGGGAGAGTAGAGAGAAGCGAGGGGACAGGAATGTTCGAGAGGAGAAGAGAGGGGAGATGAGAGAAAAGAGAAGAGACTTCTCAAAAATCGCCAGTGACCAAGTCATACGCACACACGAGATGGAACGAAACGATGAGGTGTGGTAATGAGCAGCAGAATGCACATGACAGCCACCTGAAGATCAATTTTCGCTATGCTCATAAACGACTGAAGGACTTCAACTGAAGCTGACGAACGCTCACCTGGCGGCACTTGCCCACCTGGCGGCACTTGCCCACCTGGCGGCACTTGCCCACCTGGCGGCACTTGCCCACCTGGCGGCACTTGCCCACCTGGCGGCACTTGCCCACCTGGCGGCACTTGCCCACCTGGCGGCACTTGCCCACCTGGCGGCACTTGCCCACCTGGCGGCACTTGCCCACCTGGCGGCACTTGCCCACCTGGCGGCACTTGCCCACCTGGCGGCACTTGCCGACGCCGCTGACAGTAAGCTTCCAGTCGAGCTCCTTGTGGCCCACCTCAGCATCCACCTCGTACAGCTCGTAGAACTTGCCCTGTGGGGACATGACACGTGGCAGGGAGGCAGAAGAACTTTCAAAACATCCACAATCCAAAGCATCACACGGGGCAGGGAACTATGCGATTTTCAAGACTCACAAGTGGGAGGGAGTGAAAGAAAAGTCAGAAACACGTACCACTTTGAAGAAGAGGATGGTGTCCATGTAGCGACTTTTCGTGCCCCAGTACTGCTTCTGCGATGCTGATAGCTTGTCGAAGATCGCACGCGGGACGGTTACACTTCGCGAATCGTACCCTGGGTCCCCAGGCCTCCTCCCCTTCCCGTCCCGAATATTCTCGGGCAGCAGCCACTCAAATTTTGACCGGGCCTCGGCCCACATGCTAGCATTTTTATCCTGCCCGCCGTCCAGATCGTCGGATCCCAATGCCCGAAGAAAATCTGCTCGTCTGGACTGATCAGGTTGTGACGCTCCAGATTGTGACAAAAACGAAGGTTTCGCAACCCTCTGAGATGCTCCGTTGGCAGGCCGCTCAGGCTGACTCGCGGAGGCGAACTTTTTACCCTGAAACGAATTAATCCTCTCGCTGTAGTCACTCTCATTGTCGTCAACATCTGCGTCGTCCCTCGTTCTCTTGCCCCTTGGGACACATGGCTTGATCCCAGGAGTCACAGGAGTGAAATGCGGCCGTGGGCTGAAATTACCTCGACCGTTCCCAGCACTCGCCGCTGCTGAGGGAGTTCCGAAAGTGTTTGTACCATTACCGGTAATACCGTTGTTACCAATGCCACCGAGATTACCGGTGTTACAGGTGTTACCAGCCGCGGTACCAGGTAAGCCGAGCTCCTTTTTGCGCGGATCAGGAGAATAACCCGTTATACGCTGACTCGGGGGAGGCTTATTATTCTGGGACGGCTGATCGGCCGTCACTCGCCATTTCGGCTCCATCCCCTCGTTTGCGCCGCTGAACACGTACGGGTTGCGTGGGGACTTGAACGGACTGTTATCGAAGACTGCTTTAGCGGGGACATTATTCGAGCCCCAAGGACCTTGGCTGCTTGCTGGAGAGTTTTGAGTCGACACGAGCGGCTGTGATGACAACGGGTTAGAAGAGTTTTCTCTTTTGGAGTAGAATCTCCACAGGGAGCGCTGAGCCATGGTACCGTCGAGAATGCAGCGATCCTGGACCCGCTAGAAGCTTATGCGCCGCGGAAGCCAATACCACCAGCTCTGATTTTTGTAAAACGTGTGGAAACATAAATTTAACAAGCAAGAGTTGAGGCACGCGTAAGCTTTCGGAATACGAGGCTAAACCGCTTCTGAAACCGCTCAGTTGAGCAGGCGACGATGAGGCTGAAGATCGGTGCGAGGCGTCATGAGGACGACACGAATGGGAGAAAGCTTGGAACCAGAAGTTGGAAATTCCGACTTCGAACAAAGATGGAGGAACAAATGATGGAGTTTGCCTCGCCACCTGCTGCCCATATCGGCTCGGCAGGATTTTTCCGGGGCTCTCGAGGCTGCTCGACACGAAGCGGACAGATGATTGGTTGAACGCCTATCGGGCAGATGAGCAACTCTGCTGGTGTGTTCCTGAATTCGAATGTTCAAAAATCTGGCACGGACCAATTTTTTGAGACACAAAGCAATGAAGTAGTAAATCAACCAATTATCAATAACGATATCGTGAAGCCTTTGAGCTAGGCGTGAAACTTCTAGTATCGCAGCTGCCTACAACGGCTTTCGCAGTTTCTGCTGTGATGGATGTGTGCTTGCGCCACCTACCATCGCCAGCAAGGGAAAGTGGCAGTCGACTCCAGTCCAGTATCACATTGCACGCGATGATCTAGGTCATAGACTAGACTAGAAGCCGGATGTGTTTCAGCAGTAATCAAACGGCCTAGATTGCTGCATTTAGGTTTCAGGCAACCGATATGGCTTTCGTCGCAACGGTGTGCTCCGACACGCAGCTTCTGTTTCCTAAATTATTATAATCTGCGATATTTTCTTCCTTCGGACGGCAGGTTTTGATATGAAACCCAAGTAATTTATCTGAGGCACGTCATTTTACACTAGGCTGACGTCAGGACCATCTGCGACCACACGTTGGTAAGCCGCTTCCCCGAGATTCACGCAATGCGGTCGTCGTCGAGCCGCACGAATGGAGGAGCAGCCGGTATGGGCTTCACGTCGCCGCGCGACGCCGACGCGGCCGAGGCACGGCGGCTCCAACGCGCCGCGCTGTTGCAAGCGCGCGGCGGGCCTAACTCCATGGAGAAGCGATTCCTGCGCTTTATATCGGGTACTAAACAGCCGCGCATTCCCTGCATTTGTCATTCCTAAATAGGGTGCCAGGCTTTCTTGCGCGATTCTTCTGCCGCGTCTTCTTAAAGCATATGTCAGAATTCTCACCGGAACCTACTCTTCCCCCGCCTCTCCCCTCTGCCCTCCCACCATCCCTTCTCCCCCTCTCCCCCAATCGTTCCCCCCTCTTTCTCCCCTTTTGGACGCCAGCGGGAACCTTCCTGGATTCTGCCACCCTGAGCTCCGTCGCGCCCATCCTCCCGGGCTACGCGCGTCGCTTCGGCCTGACACAGCACGCCGTGACGCTGCTCCTCGCGGCGCGCAACGTCACGTCCGTGCTCGCGTCGCTCCCCATAGGCGTGCTCCTTCTCTTAATCTCCGTCCCCACCATCTTCGCCGCGACCTTCTCTCTCTCCACCCTAGCCTCTCTCTCCCTCGCGTTTCCGATCGCGGGGGCAGGCTCACTCGCAGCTGCCCTGGTGCTTCAGGGTGTCGCCACCCAATCCGTGCGCAGCGTTGGACTTTTTTTCGCTGCCCGGGTTTGCGGGTCAGGCGCGTCATTGGACGAGGTGGTGGACCAGCTCGCGCAGAAGGGCAGCGAGGGGCTGCACAAACTTTTGGGCTCGGGCAGGCTGTGGACTGCCCGGGGCAGGACGTCGTTAAGTTATGGTTTGGTGGGGGATGGGAGGAGAGGAACGAGCAGTCTTAGCGGTATCAGCAACACTCCTTACGAACGCCTGACCCCTTCCCAGCAGCAGCAGCAGGAGCAGGAGCAGGAGCAGCGGGAGCAGGAAGAGGAGGAGGAACAGCAGCAGCAGGAAATAGAGGGACGGGGATGGAGGGAGTTTTCAGGAGGGAGAGAAGCTGGATGGAGCGAAAGAGAGGCACAGGTTAGAGGGAGAGGGAGAGGCAGAGGGAGAGGCAGAGGTGGAGGAAGAGGGAGACGTGGAGGGAGAGGGGGGCGAAGGGCGCAAGTTGGCGGAATCGGTGCCCCAGGCTCGGCCGGAGCAGCAGGAGGAGGTTCGGCATCCGAAGGTCTGTTCGTGGTTCGGAGCGGCGACCAGGTGTTCCGATCCGCAGCAGCAGACTACTCCCTCACAGGCACCCACTTCCCCACCGCCTTTGCCGACGGCATGGACGGCACCCCCTCTGGATCCTCCTCCGCAGCTTCCTCTGCGGAGGCGTCTCTCCTAATCGGTGTCATAGGCTCGTTGCTGGGGTGGGCGTCGCTGGGGACGCTCATTGGGCCGCTGTTTGGCTCGTTTGCCTACCAGTACCTGTCTCCCTGGATCGCGTATCTGGTTGCGGCTGTGGCTGCGGCTGTGCTCGCGTTCCTCTCGTTCCTGCTGTCGCCTGAAGCGCACTCCCTCGACCGCCTCGATTTCCAGCTCAGCTGGCGCAAGAAGAAACAAAAGAAACAGCAGCACCAGCACCAGCAACAGCAGCAGGAGGAAGAGATGGAAGAGCAGGAGGAACCGCAGCTGCAGCAGCAGGGTAACTCGGGGTCCTACGCACTCACAAATACCTCTTCTAATCCCCCCGGCGGCGCTGATACCATGCAGTCGTCGTCACCAAGCCCTGTGACATTAGGCCTCGCTACTGGCTCTGCAGCAGATCCTGGTCCTGACTCTATTGTCGGTTCGGGTTTTCAGGGGGGCAATGGGCAGGTGACGGTAAATTTCGAGGCGCTAGGGGTAGAGCCGCCACCAGAACCTTCCGACCTGCCCGACTCGTTCTTTTCGTCGTTTGCGTCTCGCCAGGATGACACTTCAGGTAACCCTTCAGGTGACCCGTCAGGGGAGGGAGCAGAGCATGATGATAGAGACTTTGTGCTGATTCGGAGATTTGAGCCCATGACCTCTGCCTCCAACCCAGCAGCTGCTGCTGGTCCTGTTGCTGCCTCTGCTCCTGCTGACGGCTCCCAACGCCCTCCACAGCCCCTCGACTCCTCTCTTACTTCACAGCCCCACCAATCTTCTCCTTCTCCACAAACCGTCTACTCCTCTCCTGCCCCGCAGCACGGCACATCTACCCCTCAGGCGCCCCTCCCCACTAGTCACGTCCCCCTCATCCCCCCTCCCAACCCCACACCAAACAACGCGCAGGAGACAGCTTCTGCCGCTGCCGCTCCTGGCCTTGTTGCCTCTGAACCTGCCCCTGGCCCTGCCTCTCCTGCGCCTGCCCCTGTCTCTCCTGCGCCTGCCTCTGCCTCTCCTGCCCCTGCTTCTGCCTCTCCTGCCCCTACCCCTGCCACTGCCCTTACCCCTGAACCTGCAGCTCCGACTAGTGCTGCTGTGGTTTCAGGCGCTGTTGAGGAAGCAGGCGCTGCCGGCACTGAAGCAGAAGCAGATGCGGAGTGGCACGAGGTGCCCCTGTCAGGAGACACCACCATTCCCGCTGCTGCTTCAGCCCTGAGCCATGACCCGCACTCACATGATGAAAGGCTTTGGGGAGGAGCTGGGCAGGTGACGGCACCAGTGGCAGCACCAGCAGAGGCACAAGACGCAGTGCCAGCGGGGATGAGTGTGGGAGGTGCAGCAGCTGGTGCAGCGGCAGAGCCTGCTGACATGATCGAGCAGGCTTTCAATCTTGGTAGAGGCAGCACTAGCTCAATCACCAATGTTGATTCTGTCCCTTCCATTCACTCCTCCACCACCTCTGCCAGCATCAGCACAACCACCACCACCAGCAGCACTACAACAAGCAATCTCCCTCGAAGTGCCCCTACCATCCCTCCTCTTGACGCCCCGTCATCATCATCCACATCAGCTTCTGCACCTGTTGCCACCAGCTACCCACCTGGTCCAGCTGGCACCTCCAGCTCAGCTGCTGACGTCAGCAGCAGCTACAGCAGCTACAGTAGCAGCTCCCAGCAGCAGCAGGAATACCACCAGCAACAGCAGCAGCAGGAGTGGCAGGACCTGGAGCAGCAGCAGCAGGAGCAGCAGCAGCAGGAGCAGCAGCAGCGGCAGCGACAGGGAAGCATGACGATCCGGGGTCTCCTCTTTGCCCTCCGCAACCGTCTCGCCACCGCCGTGCTCCTCACCACAGCCGTGCAAACGCTCTCCTTTGGAGCCCTTGAGGCCACCCTCCCGTTCTTCCTAGCGGACACATGCGACGCCGGACCCGCTTCTGTCGGGCTGGCGTTTGCGCTCAACGGATTGGCATACTCGTTTGTAGCATATGTGTCTGCGCACGCGCATGCGACTGCGCATCTGCACGTGCAGGCCCGCTTACACGCCCATGCGCGGGCGGCGCTCTCGTCGTTTTCGGCGTTTTTTACGTTTCTTGTCGCGCTGGCTTCGTCCGTGCTGCTCTATGTGAGGAGTTTGTCGCCAGGAGCGACGAATTCAGTCGGAATGACGATTCTAGCGTGGACGCTTCCGCTGCTTATGATTCAGGAGTTATCGTGCAGTGCGGCCCGCGTTCCACTGTATTTATTAATGGCGGCGAATGGTGTTGGTTACGCTCTTACGGAGCTTCCGAGCTTTGCCTCTTTGGTGTCGGCATTGGAGAGTGAGGAAGACGAGGAGCGGAATTTGCTTGATAGTGGGTATGCGCGGAGCAGCTCATATGGGGAACGGACTGGAGGAGAAAAGCATATCGATGTGGCGGTGTTGGTTGCTTTGTATAATGGTGCTGGTGTGTTGGGGTATGCGTTTGGTCCGTTGTTGTCTACCGCGCTTGCTTCCAAGCTCCCGGCTTTTTGGGTGATGGTGTGTGTGTCTGGATTTCTTTGGCTGGTTGGGGCGTTTAGTGTTTGGGCTCGAAGAGCCCATTCTAGAAGACACACAATGTAGGTGGTGACTCATTTCTCTTTGTGATAATGTTGTGATTTATTATTACTTCAAAGTATAACACTTACGCTTCATCCTTCCGCGTGTACTGAATAACTTGGATGATGATCGCATGGACATCCTTCAGCGTGGATGGCTCAAAGTCCCATCCCCAACCAACCAATCAAGATGTGATCATCGCATGGTCGAGCTCCTGCACCAGGCTCGGTCACACCCAAGCGCTTCCCCTCCCCGCCAACCAACCAATCACCCTGCCTGACGCGGGATGCTCATGGTGTAATTTCCGCCACAAGCAGTAGGAGCTGGCGCGTAACTCTCAAAACGCGGGCGCGCGGATTTTCCCTCCCGCAAACTGGGTGCCGCCGCAACCACCCTTTCGCTGTGTGACTAGGTCAGCGAGTGCGCACAATTTGCTCCTGCAATGCTGGCGCGGAGTTACCAGTGTATCAGCACCACCGCACGCAGCGCTCATGTCAACGCTGGCGCGCCGAGCTCTTCTTCCCCCCTCCTCCCCTCCACATGACCCATGCCATGCCGATGGCATCCCTCAAGCTTCGAATGGAATCCCCAGATTCCTCCCAGCCATGTCGTAGAACCACGACCACCGTACTAGACCGAATAAAACACATGAAAACCAGTAGTAATCCTTTCCGTTCAGGCACCAGACATTCTTCTGCCTCCATTTTCCCAACCATTCATTTCTTACCTTGATAACTTCAGTATTCCTCATTCCCTCAGCGTCGTTACAGAGAACTTCAAAATCGTAGAAGCGAGGAATCGAAGCCATTGCTCCAGCGGAAACAGCGAAACCGCGTCGAGAGCTGGAAGCACGACAAATTGTATCTTTAAGGGCTACAAGTTGAATTCTGACAAATCGGTGTTGAGGAGAATCGGGATTCGGGAATCGAGATACGGGAATTGGGAATCGGGAGCCGGGAATCCACCGGAGCGGGGATCATGGGGGGCCCAGACGGCGCGGGGGATCATGCGAGGCCGTCGACGGGGCAGAACGTACCGCAGTGGTACTACCAGGACTGGGCTGGCGAGCACGGGTATGTCTGATCGGACGGTGCCAGCGGTTCTCCTCTCTTGATCCTACGGTGCTCCTGTCGTGAGCCAACGCTGCTCTTTCTTGATCGATTGGTGCCTGACTCGCATTGGACGGCTCCGATTCGTCCTTGAATCGCACAAGTCTCTTGCTGAAAGATCTTCCGTCTGCCTCAGGCTGTTGATTTTTTTTTCCGTTAGACTGAGCCAACAGCTGCCGGGTTTTTTCGATTTACTACCTCCGCATTCCTCGCGTCGTTTCGCGTTCCTGACTTCGTTTCACGTTCCTCTCTCCTTTTGCTTTTTCTCTCGTACCGCATTACAGACCTCGGACGCTCCTCCAACTAACGCAGGCGCTTCAAAAGGGTTATTTCACCCCCGACCTCCTGGTACGCTCGAAGACGCCATCCTACGTCGCTTATCTTGAGACGCTTTATAACGGTTTATTCCACCCCCGAGCTCTTGATAGGACGCCACGACGTTCTGCTTCGCTGATCGTACATCTTCATGTGTGTGGTCTGCACTGTTGCGACGCTTGCAGTGTAACCAGCACCAGCAGGGTCCATGTCGACTCTAAATCCTGTTGCGACAGACCGCGACTGTTACTGTATGTAATCCGTGCGTTTGTTCGCTCATGATGTGTGCAGGTTCGCAAGGAGGGCACACAGCGGTGGCACACGCTGAGAGACGTGCTCGACCTGCGACAGCTGCTGCGCGCGCGGAAACACGGGCAGGTGAGCGATCAGGGAAACACGGGCAGGTGAACGACCAGGGAAACACGGGCAGGTGAGCGATCAGGGAAACACGTGCAGGTGAATGAACCGGGAATTCGGGGGTTGAGTGAACCAAGGAGTAGTTGTATCGCTTTTTTTTAGAATTCTCCGTTCCCCGTTCCCTCCATTACTATTACCTACTCTCCCTCCTCTCCCCCTTCCGCACGCTTCCCCATCCTGTCATGCGGGCCTGATTCCACCGCTGCACAGCACGGCATGTACTCCTGTCCGGGCATGCACTCCCATTCCTACCAGGCGGCCCCATTCCCATGCCCCTGATGCCTCAGCAGGAGCAGGAACCCCCTCGCGGACATCAGTCTCCCTGGAGGCCGCCACTGCTTCGTTCGTCCCACCACCACCCCCACCCTTACCTCCACTTCCCCCCTTCCTGCTGCATCCCCTCTCCTACCAGGCGGCCCCTGATGGCTCAACAACAACAGCAACAGCATCAGCAGGAGGAGGGACACCCTCACGCACAGCAGTGTCTTTGGAAGCCGCCACTGCCGCGTTTCGTCTCCCCATCCCCTTCCTTCCCCCCACTCCCCTCCCCCCTCCTGCCAGGCGGCCCCTGATGCCTCAGCAACAGCATCAACAGGGACACCCTCACGCACAGCAGTGTCCTTGGAGGCCGCCACTGCCGCGTCAGCAGCTGCTCTGGCGGGGATCTCCCCGCGGAGAGACGGGTCCCCTGCTGGCGCCACGTCAGCCGCCGCATCAGCAGCCGTGCCAGTTGTCAGCCTGATTCCTGCAGACGACCCCATCACGAATCTGTTCAAGACGCCTGGGCAGGTGAGGTTGCGTTTACAACTGCCGGTGCCAGGCAGGTAATACTCTGCTCAGGAAATGAACTCTATTTACACAAGCCTATGTGGAGGAATCACTTTTTAGAATTCTGAAAAGTGATCTACACAAACCTATGGGGAGGAGCAGGAGCCGCTGTTCTGGCTGCCCAGCCCCTCCAGCCCCTTCAGCCCCTTCAGCCCGCATGTCTCTTCCCCCTCTCCCCCAACCAGGAATGGTTCTGCGTGGACATGCACTTTGAGGTGCAGGGACCCTTCAGCCCCTACAGCCTCCCAGCCCCCCACAGTCCTTTCTCTACGCTTCACTGCGCCCGCGCCAGGAGTGGTTCAATGTGGACACGCAAAGGAAGGTGCAAGGGGCCCTTCAGCTCGCACGTCCCTTCTCCAGCTCTCTCTGCCCCTTATCGCCTCTGCGCCCCTCTGCGCCCCTCTGCGTCCCTCTGCGCCCCTCTCCACCCACCAGGAGTGGTTCTACGTGGACATGCACGGGGAGGTGCAGGGGCCCTTCGGCTCGCACGGGACATGCATAGATTTCACCTCCGCGCCCCTCAGTGCCCCTCTGCGATCCTCTGTGTTCCTCTGTACCTCTCTACACCGCTCTGCACCAGGAGTGGTTCTACGTGGACATGCATGGCGAGGTGCAGGGGCCCTTCAGCTCACAGAAGATGCAGCGCTGGTGGACCAACCCCCTCTATAAGGACCACTTCTCCTCGCTAAAGTGCCGCAGAGGGCACCATGGTGAGTATGACAGTAACGAGGGTGACTGTAACGAGCTATCAACTGACGATGCAGCGCTGGAGGATTAACCACCTCTATAAGGACCGCTTCTTCCTTTTTAAGTGCTGAAGAGATCATTACGGTAGTTATGTCCGACATTTCCCTCTTTCCAGTGTTTCCCCCCCTCCCTCCTTTTCCCCACTCTCCTGTGTTCCTCCCGTTTCTCCCCCTCCCTGTGTTGAACCTTTTTTTTCCCTCTCCTGTGTTCCGCCCATGTTTCTCCCTCTCCTCTTGTTTCCCCTTCCCGCTGGTCTTCCCCTGGCGAGTTTCGCCTCAAAAGTTTCCTGCTCTTCCCCCCCCTTCCCCCCTCCCCCCTCTTCCCTTTTCCTGTATTGTTGGTTCCTCGCTTGTATTCCCCTAGGTGAGTTCCGCCTGCTGCCTGAAATAGCAGAGGAGGTGGCAGCGAGAGGGCCTCCTCCGGAATCACCCAAGCAACTTGGGTATAGAGACCCTGCTAGCGCCAAGGTGTGTTTGGTCAAGAGGCGAAGGGAGGGAGGGAAGGAGGAAGATGGAAGGGAGTTGGGCTGGAGTGGCCGGTGCTGGGGCCGAAAGCAAAAATAAAAGGGGGCAGGAAGAGATAGAAGGCAAATTTGAGGAATGATTGCAGCTTCTGAGGCTCATCAAGTCTCACATCAACGGGATTGAGGGAAGGAGGGAGGGAGGGAGGGAGGGGAGGGAGGGAGGGAGGAAGGGAGGGAGGGAGGGGAGGGAGGGTCGTCGGATTGAGGCATGGAGGGTGGCTGGGCAATGGAGGTGGAGGAGAGGAGACAGAAAGCGGCTGACAGAAGGCACCCTTTTGTGTGCAGTCAGGGTTTCAGCATTTGGGTTTCAGGCTTTGGATCTGGGCAACGGAAGTGGAGGAGAGGAGACAAAGAGGTCTCACATCAACCCCTCTTCCATGTGAATCCAGAGTGAGGGTTTGGGGTTTTTCGTCAGGTTTTTGGGCTTAAGGTCCTAGCCACGATAACAGGTGACTGGGAAAAGGAGGTGAAGCTTCAAGGCCACTTTAACAGCCCCTAACCTCCCGTCTTTCCTTACCCATCCTCCCGTATTTCCTGCAGCAGAAGGCTCGAAAGAGTGAGGGTACGTGCAGTCGGGGTCGAGGAAGGAGGAGGCCCGTGAATGGGCTGAGGCCTGAAGCAGCAGACTCACACAGACGTCTTTTGAGGCGCCTTTTGAGGGCTTCTGAGGCAAATCAAAGGACTGTGGAGGAGCTGAGGCCTCAAGCAGCAGAGTCACACAGGCCCCCCTCCCTCCCTATCCTCGTGCACCCCTCAAACATATGACATGAGGCACAGAAGAGCGAGAGAGATGTGTGCGGTCGGTCGGGGTCATGTAAGGAGGAGAGCGACCTGGTCAAGGAGGTGGAGGAGCTGACAGGCACCTCACACAGCCCCTACTCTTCCTTTCCCCACCCCTCTTTCCCCAGACTCCTCACCGTCGCAGAAGGCTCCGAAGAGTGAGCGGTGCGGTCGGGGTCGCGCAAGGAGGAGAGCGACCTGGTCAAGGAGGTGGAGGAGCTGAAGCAGCAGGTGGAGCCGCCAGGCACCTCAAACTGCCCCTTCCCCACCCCGGTCCCCACTCGTCTCCTCTATTGCCTGTTTCGGAAGGCTCCGAAGAGCGGGAGATATGTGTGGTTGGGGTCGCGCAAGGAGGAGAGCGACCTGGCCAAGGAGGTGAGGTGGAGTGGAGGAGCTTTGAGGCACCTCAGACATCCCCTGCCAATCCTTTCCCCACCCCCTCCTTCCGCATGGCAGAAGGCTCCAAAGAGCGAGCGGTATGTGCGGTCGGGATCACGCAAGGAGGAGAGCGACCTGGCCAAGGAGGTGGAGGAGCTGAAGCAGCAGGTGGAGCGACTGGAGGTGGATAATGAGGGGCTGCGGAACTCACAGGAGGACACCTTCATTGTGAGTCCAGTAGGAGATTTCTTGGATGTATCCCCTAGGACTGCCTGCCTTCATTGCAAGGCTGTGAGGCGTGCTCTTGCCTCTAGGCCTCTCTCTCGTCTCGAGGTGGACTCACAGGAGCAGCAGGTGGAGCGACTGGAGGTGGATAACGAGGGGCTGCGGAACTCGCAGGAGAACACCTTCATTGTGAGTCCAACGAGTGTGCTTTTGGCTGTGAGATTACCTCGTTGTAAGAGCACACTGCTTGTGCACTGGCCTGTCGTGTGTAAGGAGGTGGAGGAGCTGAAGCAGCAGGTGGAGCGACTGGAGGTGGACAATGAGGGGCTGCGGAACTCACAGGAAGACACCTTCATTGTGAGTCTGGTTTGTTAGGGTCGTTGTGTGAATCACAGGAAGGGCTGTTCTTTGAAGCAGCAGGTGGAACGACTGGAGGTGGATAACGAGGGGCTGCGGAACTCACAGGAAGACACCTTCATTGTGAGACTTGTTGGGTGGTTGTCTGGTTAAGGTTGTTGTAGGTAAGAACACCTTTCCCTGGCTGTAAGGTCACAAATGGAGCCACAAGTGGAGCGGATGGAGGTCGACGATGCGGCAGCTAAGGAACTCCCAGGAGGACCCTGCCGCTGGAACTCCCAGGAGGACCTCCCAGGAGGAACTTCCACATGTTGTGAGGCAGGCTTCCTGCGGGTAAAGAGGCTGTTGGAAGGAGCAGAAGCAGCAGGTTGGTCAGCTGCAGGTGGACAAAGAGGGGCTGCGTGACTGTGACTCACACGAGGACACCCGCTGCAGTACAGTGCAACCATCCCCTCTCTGACACTCCTCTCCCTTCGTGGCCCCTATCCCCCCTCCCCTCGCTTCTGCAGCTGCGTATGCAAGTGGAGCGTCTGCTGCAAGAAAAAGCAGAGCTGGCAAGAGAAGTCACGATGCTGAAGCGCGAGAAGGAGTCTCTGCAGGAGCTGCTGCAGTACGCGCAGCAGCTTGACATTGCAGATGAGGGCGTCGCTGATGAGCTGATCGCCGACGCATCCCCTCCCCCTCTCTTACACCCCGCTCCCCTCATTGCCCCCTTGTCCCCAACCCCACCCAACCCCCTTTTCCCCTCTCTTCCCGCCTCTCTTCCCCCTCTGCAGCTGCGTATGCAAGTGGAGCGCCTGCTGCGAGAAAAGGCAGAGCTGGCGAGAGAAGTAACCATGCTAAAGAGAGAGAAGGAGTCTCTTCAGGAGCTGCTGCAGTACGCGCAGCAGTTTGACATTGCAGACGAGGGCGTGGCTGATGAGCTCATAGCGGGCGAGGAGGGCGAGGGCATGGGCGGGAACGAGTGGGGGGCGGGCGAGGGGGACCGGGCCACAGAGGAGTGGTTCCAGATGCTTGAGGCTGCTTCCCATAAGAATCCCAACGGCTTAGAGGAGAATTAGGCTGTGGGTGAGTTGTGGGGGAGGTCTGGGTGAGTGTGCAGGAGCTTATGGGAGCAGCATCAGGAGCTGCTGCAGTACGCGCATGGGTGTGTGGCTGCTAGCAGTTTGACATTGCAGATGACGGCGTGGCTGATGAGCTGATAGCGGGCAAGAGGGTGAGGGGATGGGTGGGAACAAGTGGGCAGGCGGGGACGACCGGGCCACAGAGGAGTGGTTTCAGATGCTGGAGGCCGCTTCCCATAAGAATTTCACTGGCTTAGAGGAGAATTAGGTTGAGTTGCGGGTGCGGGTGAGTTGCGCACGCGGAGGGCGAGGGGATGGGCGGGAACGAGTGGGGTCGGGCGAGGGGGACCGGGCGACAGAGGAGTGGTTTCAGATGCTTGAGGCCGCTTCCCATAAGAATCCCAACGGCTTAGAGGAGAATTAGGGGGTGGGTGAGGTGCGGGTGAGTTGCGTACACGGAGGGTGAGATGGGTGGGATGGGAACAAGTGGACGGGCGAGGGGGACCAGGCCACAGAGGAGTGGTTCAGATACTGGAGGCCGCTTCCCATAAGAATCCCAACAGCTTAGAGGAGAATTAGCTGGTGGATGAGGTGCGGTTTTGGTCTGGATGAGGCCTGGGTGAAGTCTCGTTGAGGTATGGTTGAGGTCCGGGCGAGGTCTGGCTGAGGTCTGGGCGAGATGTGGGTGAGGTCTGGGCGAGGTCTGAGGTGTGGGCGAGGTGTGGGCGAGCTTCTGCTTTAGAGTGTGTTAATGGTGTCATAAAGGTGTCAGGGAGGTGTCAGGGAGGTGTCAGGGAGGTGTCAGGGTGGTGTCAGGGAGGTGTCAGGGCTAAAGGATGGTGTCAACTTGGACAAAAGGTGGGGTTGAAGGGGTGGAGAGGTGGGGGGGGATGGCTGCTCCAGGACTGGGTGGGAGAGAAGCAAGCGACCTGTGGTTGGAGCAGGGAGGCCTGGAGTTGAACCTATTTTTGAGTTGACTCGAAAAAACGGTGGAGAGGTGGGGGGGGATGGCTGCCCCGGGACTGGTTGGGAGAGAAGCAAGTGACCTGTGGTTTGTGCAGGGAGGCCTGGAGTTGAACCTACTCGGAAAAAGTCCTCTGCATAGAAGACGGGAGGGAAGAAGGGTGGCTCCGTTTGGACTGGAGTGGACAGATGCGGGCGGCCTGGAGGGTTGTGAGACTCAAGAATTGTGTAGCTGAGCGCTACAGTGGGCAGGTAGAGAGAGGAAGAAGCAGAAGCCGCAGTAGCAAGAGCAGCAGCAGAGGGAGCAGCGGTAGCAGCAGGAGGGTGTGTTTCAAGCTTTGGTGTGGAAAGCAACCACAACCTGTAGTGTACAAGGTGCTGTAGGCGCACCACTAGTGGTACCGTAGCTTAGTAGCAGCCTGAGCATTCAAAACGACCATAGCCAAGAAAAGCACTTGTAGTACCTATATTGTGCTCTCCATTGTACCTACTGGTTCTGTTAGTTTTACAATCTTGATTTACGAATTGTGGTTGTGAAAAATGTATACCATACATCATTAGAACGGTATAGCACCAACTTCAAATAGTCCAAAAATCATATCAAGCAGAAACTACACATACATTTACTGGGAGGTAGCAGAAGAACAATACTGGGCCCTAACGAGCATTTGTTTGTTTATGCTCTGCTTGCCTCTTTATCCCCAAGCCATGCAGAGATGCACCAGCAACGGAACGAAACCTCACACAATGAACAACAAAACAAGCATGCCACTCATTCCCCAACCATACGAGACATATTACCATCCAAGAATGTAGGAGCGAAGGGTTTCACATCACACATTGTATGGAGGTACGTTGTCCTTGACTGCTGCTGGCGCTGCATCGGCAATGGCCTTGAGCACACAGCGCTTGTACATGCGAATAGTGTAGTACCAGAACATCGCAATGTAGATGAAAGCTGCGAAAAAAGCCATGGCGCATGCACCACGGACCTTGCTCAGATCCGAATTCATGTCATTAATGTACGTATTGAGATAAGCTCCGGAATCCATTGATGAAGGGAGAGTCGGGTCCAGACCCAATGAAGCGAGCATGGCCTTGGTGGTGCTGGTGCTGTAATCGTTAAGCACCATACTGCAGAACAAGGGAAGCAATTCTTGCGTTAGTGTGTATGTACTTGAGAGAAGAGAAATGCTTTGGTTGTGTTTACTGTAGTATTCCAAAGAGGAACGTTACCTGTTCAATGCGCTAGTGTTCCACCACGTGTTGCATGCAGCTGCTCCTGACGTGGCGGCGGCGAACAGCAGAAGCGACATGATCTGTTTGGGGGAGGGATGGGGTGGGGGGAGTTAGGAATTGTTGGAAATGAGGGCAAGAACGGAATGCGAGGTTTCCACCGACGCTTGTCGACTCGAAAGGACTCAAGTGCGATACGAAAGGACTCTCTAGGTTTAAAAGGACTCACGTAGGACTCGAAGAACTGCACGATGTCCATCATCCAGTCATACGCCTCGGAGCCGGCGACGCAGATGCGCACGGAGTTGTACACGAGCAGCATCACCGCGAATATGAACCCCAGGATTGTCATGCCCACCAGAAACGCGCCCGCGCTGTACGACGTCACCGTCGCCTTGGTCGCGAAGCACAGACTGCGTTAGTGAAAATTAGTAAGTATTGAAACAAAAAAAGGTTAGTAAGTATAGAAACCATTTCTTTTTCTTCTCTCGAGTTATCACAACTCAAAACGTCCGCGAGGTCTGGAGAATATATGTCTTACGTGCCGCGTTCCAAAATGCGTCTACTCGCTCTGTGTGGGCGTTCATTTCGAGTTTGCCAGAAGGTGCGGAGAGTGACAAGCAGATTCTGAAAAGGCCAGACGAGCCCAACTGACGAAGACCAGCGCACCTGAAAGCGACGAGGCAGAAGAAAAAGATGCCGATGCGAAGGCCGAAGGGGAGCCACGTGTACAGAGCGGACCGCTTGTTGTTGGCGCAGCACCCGTTCGAAGTGCTCGCCGCTGGCGCTGGCGGTGGCGGGGCGGACTGAGGTAATGGAGCGTCGTACTGGGGTGGTGGAGCCGCGTTGAAACTTCCGCCAGTCATGCCCTGCATGTTCGGAGCCTGCTGTTCAGCCATATTAAGTTGAAGGGTTTTCGTCTAGTGTGATGTTACGAAATTATCTGTGCGGAAGGACAATCACAGAAGCTCGGCTCGAGTGGTAGGATACGGGAAGGATAGAAAGTAGAAGGTTTCTTGATTTTGACGCTGGAAACTGGAGAGCTGTTCTTTATAGAAATTGGTGCGCAGGAGATATTGGTGTTTGGAAAGGGGCTGGGGCGGAGCGGATTTATCTGGAATTGCTGCAGGGTCATTGGGGAATGGCGACGGTTTGGGAGCGCGAGTGGGGGGAATAGGCACGGCGGAGGTGAGCGGTGACATGGCGAGCCACGCAGCGACGCCGTGAAACTAGCTCTGAAATTTCTTTGCTCACCCCTCGTCGTGGCAGCGCTGGCTGGTCAACAGCGTCTCCGAAATTTGATTGGTTGGTAACGCCGCGCTGTAAGTCTTTACACTCAGTCAATGTTGTGTGATTGTGTGTAACACTGCCATGCTGGCGAAATTCCACCTCAGCGGAGCTGAAGCGGTGACGACGGTACACATGTCCCTCCAGGTCACTCGATATAATGTTGCCTTTACCTATCTCATTATTACACATTAAATCAAACATAAAAAAAATCCCTTGTGGGGGTTATGTAGATGCAGTTTCACCACTTCAACAGCCTAGTCATCCATTTCCAGGTTGACTGCAAGGAGAAGAATTGGTTTCACTGCGAAAATCAAACGAACAATCAACTTCTTGTTTTAATCCAAGCGTGAATGGATATGGCTAGTGTTTTTACCTGTTCGCCATTTTCAGCACCTCATGCTTGCCATAATAATATGTGATACGACATTTATTTAGACGGATCTGCTTGCTGCTAATTCTCACCTGTCTGTAACCTATGCAAAGTGGCCAGGTCAAACCTCTGCTTACCAACGTTGCATGGAGATTCATCTAACATGTTCAGTTCAGTGGTTCTTATCAAATCTTGTCCTCATTTCAGGTTGTACATGTCGTCTCCACTAGTGAGGATATAGGAGTGTATTACAGAGGTAAGAGCATAGGCTGTAGGAATAAGCAAGCTCTCAACAGTCTAAGAACGCAAGGAGGCTAATAGGCAGTCAATGTACAAATCTGCCATCTTGTCACCGCGCAAAGCACCACGGGGTGATCACACCATATTCCATTATTACGGTATTTCTCTCGAAGGTACAAATCATTGTGCCCACACTTTCCTGAAATGGCAACGTGTCATGGAATCAGGAACAATAAACAGGGAGGCATCCTAAACTACAGAACCTGAAGCCTTTTACATGTAGGGTTCTGTTTCACACGTTGTAGGGAGGTACGTTGGCCTTCACTGCTGCTGGCGCTGCATCAGCAACGGCCTTGAGCACACCGCGCTTGTACATGCGGATGGTGTAGTACCAAAACATTGCGATGTAGATGAAAGCAGCGAAAAAAGCCATGGCGCATGCACCACGGACCTTGCTCAGATCCGCATTAGCGTCATTAATGTATTGATTAATATAGGATTCGTAGTCTAACGTTCCAGGGAGTGTGGTGCTCAGACCCAGGGAAGCGAGCATGGCCTTGGTTGCGCTGGTGCTGTAATCTCCGAGCACCATACTGAAGAAGGGAGATTGGAAAAAGGAAACGGAGACGTGATTTTACAAGACATATTGGTCGTCGCTTGAAACTTGGTTTTCGTAGCCTGCCGTTTCATCTGTGCTTCTTTGTTTTTACGCCAAAGGGGAACGAGGAACTTACTTGTTCAATGCGCCGGTGTTCCACCAGGTGTTGCACGCAGCTGCTCCTGACGTGGCGGCGGCGAACAGCAGAAGCGACATGATCTGTCAAATCACGAGGGATTTTGGATAGAAATATAGCCCTTTTTTCACACAGTAACCGGTTCTGGGGAATGTTTCGTGCATTTTATTGGCCAGTGACTTCGTTTACGAGTCCTGCCTCTCGAATAATATTAGGCTGTCCAAATGACATCGCTCAGCTGGGAGTATGCGCGCACCACGGTTGCGTCAAAGCACATGCAGAAGACTGACTTTGAAAGCTCTCAAGGGTTCGATGGACTGACGCCACGTCAAGGGTTCGACCGACTCACGTAACCCTCAAGGTTCGATCAACTCCGAGTTGATCAACTCCGCGTCACGGGGCTCACGTGAGTCTCAAAGGACCATTCGATGGACTCACGTAGGACTCGAAGAACTGCACAATGTCCACAACGTACGACTCAATGGGCTGACATCACGTCACGGATACGAACGAATCGCGTAGATCTCAATGGTTCATAAGGGTTCAAGACTCACGATGTCAAAAGACTCACGTACGACTCGAATGGACTCACGTAGCTTTCGAAGAACTGAACGATGTCCATCATCCAATCGTACGCCTCGGAGCCGGCGACGCAGATGCGCACGGAGTTGTAGACCAGCAGCATCACGGCGAATATGAACCCCAGGATTGTCATGCCCACCAGAAACGCGCCCGCGCTGTACGACGTCACCGTCGCCTTGGTCGCTAACAACAGACTGCCGCAAAAAAAAGAAGAAAAAGGAGCAATTATGGGGAAGAAAAATTTTGTAGGAAAAAAAAAGGCGGGAGGGCGTTATGCAGATTTACGATCCTCTCTCGCGTTCCTGGCGGTAGTAAGCACGAACATGTGAGAGAAGGTGAATGGAACTCGAGCTGAGATTGAGAAACGTTAGAAAATGAAGAGTTTATTCAAGCGACGACCGCACCTGAAAGCGACGAGGCAGAAGAAAAAGATGCCGATGCGAAGGCCGAAAGGGAGCCACGTGTACAGCGCGGAGCGCTTGTTGTTGGCGCAGCACCCCTCCGAATTGCTTGGCGCTGGCGCAGGCGCTGGCGCGGCGTACTGGGGTGGCGGTGGAGCGGCGTACAGTGACTGGGGTGGTGGAGCTGCGTTGAAACTCCCTGCATTCATGCCCTGCATGTTTGGAACCTGCTGCTGAGCCATTTCAAGATACGGTCGTTCCTAGGAATCACGGAAGGACGCCGAGTTTGGTCTCACGGAAAATATTCCAACGGGGTAAAACAAACAGAAGCTGAGCTCTACTGCTGGCTCGTTTGGGAGAGCAGCGAGAGAAGTACAAAGAAGCTGTTTCTGAAGTGCTTGAACAGCGATGCTTCAAATTGGAGTGGAGCGAGGGAAATATGGAAAAGTTGTGTGTGAGGTGAGGGACAGGCCCACTGGATTTAGGGCGTATTTCTAGCTTCGGGTCATCCGGCTTTACGTCATCCGAAATTTGGGGCATTCAATCGAAAAATCCAAATTTCGAAACGCGAGTTTTACGATTGGCTACCTCAATTCTTGGATGGCTCAAACGCAGGATGATCAGAAGCTAGGAATACGCCCTTATCTGCACTTGTTCCAGGGGAATGCAAGATTGGTGTGGGGGCTGAAGGAAAACCACTGCGCGCCGCGGTCAACTGGCGTAAGCAGGCATCGCGCTGGCGAGCGCCGACATGGCGTGCCAGCATGGTGTGAGTCAGTTCCAGCTGGCTTCGAGACTTTTACGGTTCACGCTAGTTCGTGACGGAGCTGGCCAAGTCAACGGCGCATTCCGATTATCATTGGCTGAAATAGTCGCGCTGTGAGTCTTCACGCAGGGTCAATGCTGTATGAGGAGTAGATTGCCTTGCTGGCGGGAATCCACCTCGGCATGCCTCAACTGGTGACGACGTGCACGTGCTCAAAACACTCGAAACCCCTTTGACGCTGACTATGCCACCTTCAATACAGACATATATACTGAGTATGCTACTTATAGAAT